AATCGGGCCCCCCCTCCCGCGTTTTTTTTTCCCCGGGGGGGCAAAAGCCCCACAATTTTGGCCGACGCAATAACGCAACCGCAGATTTCGGCGTGGGGGAGAAGCCCCCTCCCTGGGCCCTACCCACCGACGGCCGAGTGGCGCGCTCACCAAGCAAAGGTTCCCGATCCAACCAGGGAATGCCCGTGACCAGCCAAGCCTGGTGACCCAGACCCGGCAGGCCAAGGCGGAGGTTGTTCCGTGGCGTTCGGCCCTAGTCACCAAGGCGCTCAAGGAGCCCCCGCGCGCCCGCAAGAAGGTGAAGAACATTGTCCACTCTGGCTCCATCACGATGGATGACGTCATCCGGATCGCGCGCATCATGCGGGAGAAGTCGCTGGCGAAGAAGTTCGAGGGGACCGTGCTCGAGATCCTCGGCACCGCCCAGTCCATCGGCTGCCAGGTGCCCCCCACCCCCACCCCCCCACCCCCCGGCTCGCCCCCTCTCCTCTCCGTGTGCACGGGCGCCGGCAAGACGCCCCGTGCTTGTTCTGCCCCTCTCCTCACCCCCCCCCCCCCCTCAAACGCAGGTGGACGGCGAGGACCCGCACGATATCATCGACCAGATCCACGACGGCGAGGGCCCCGAGATCCCCGACGAGTGAGCGCTGCTGGTTGGACCGCGGCCATACCTGGTACCGCCCCTGCCACGGGTCGCAGGCTATCCGGAGTTGAGCCGCTGTCCCGTGCTTTCGCCGCTATATAAAGTACGTCGATTTTATGCGAAAGCACACTTACAGACACAGTCCCATCAAATGGGAATCTAGCCCAAGGTCGGAGAGTCGTGTCATAGGAGAGGAGAGAGTGGGTGGAGATGTTTTGTGCGGGATCAGGCCCGAGTCCCTAGTGTCGCCGGAGCAGTAGCTCCCTTTTTCGAACAGAAAAATTTTTTTTTACAGACACAGTCCCCACGCAGAGCGCGCCCCCCGAGCCCGAGGCCACCTCTCTCCGCCCTCGCCGGGGCCGACGTTTTTTGATCTCTGGGTCAGTGGGGGGCCGAGCCACCTCGGGGTGGCGGGCGGGCGGGCGTTTTGAAAAACAGAAAACAGAAAACAGAGGGGGGCCAGGGCCCCCACTACGATTAGACACAAGCACCTGGCTCCTGGGACAAAGCGAGCAGCAGCAGCAAGCAGTTCAGCGGAGAAGGGGGGGGGGAGGAGCCGAGGGGGTGACGTCCCGACACGGCAGGTTGGAGCTGACCCAGGGAGAGAGAGAGAACAGCGATGGCAGCCCCCAATGACTGTAGACAGAAATGACGAGCCGACAGCGATGCAGCGGCAGCGAAAGCGGCGAGGAGGGCCCGCTGCAGAGCTCCGCTGGGCGGCAGCAGAGACATCGGCGGACGGGGGAGCACGCGGGACACGTCGGCATAGGAGCCAGGGGTGTGGGCTGGGCCTGCATCATGAATGGGCCTGATAGCGACGGCGGCGACGTAGGCGAGACGGCGGCGAGGGTGGCGACGATGAAGCTGGCTTGACGAAATGGATGACGCCATCGCGCAACAATAGACATCCCCTCGATGTCGTCGTCGTTGCCGGAAGGGGCAGCGCACGCGCCTCTGAAGATCGAGGCGCGTGGCTCAAAGCCGGCGCTGCGCGGGTTCGTGCCCATCCGACTATTGTCTACTTTTCCATTTTTTTGGATGCCGTGGAGCGTGGTCGTGGGGGTCACTCACGACCCGCCGCACGAAGTAGGCGGCGCGCAGCGCCGCTCTCGCAGGCTGTTTTTGTCGGTTCTACATTTTGTTTTTGTTTTCAGTCTAGGGGGCCCGACCCCCTCAGAGGCGGCGGGCGGGCGCCCACTGACCCAGAGATCAAAAACGCTCGGCCCGGCGCCCCCGAGCCCCGACGCCTCCCCTGAGCTGGGTCAGCGGTCACCCCATCTCACACTGGTCCAGCCCGGGGGGGTGATGCTCCGATAAACCCTAGGGCGAGTAGGTGAAGTTGTTTCTTTTTGTGTGTGAAAGAGATCTGGCTCTCATAGAATCGAGGACCGTTCGCTTTCTAGAAGACCCTCGGTGGGCTACCGTGAGTACAGTCGTACAGCCAAAGGACGCGTAGGACGCGTCCTTCAACTAACTAACAACACGCGAAACGGCCGTTTTTGGCGGTTGTGACGCGCATGGAGGCGCTCGTCATGAGCGTCGCACTGCCTGCGCTGCTGGCACAGTATGCGCTGGTGTTCATGGCGGCCACCTCGGCTCACACGCGCATGCCCGAGTGTCTCCCCGTGCAGCTGGGCGGCTATGACGAGGCGTACCGAGCGTGGGATGCCGGCGTCTGCTTTACCGAGGAGCAGCTGTGGTGCGCATCGGCTGCTGCTGGAGAACACGCCCACACACACCACAATTCCCTTGCCAGCTGCCGCGGCTGCCGCACGACCAATGCGTATGCACGGTTCCGAGGTAGCTTCACCCTCTCTCCACCCCTGGCCCGGTGGCGCAGGTGCCGCGTGCACCCGGGCAGGCATGCAGCGTGCACGACGGCCGACTGCCGCGCGGAAGAGGTGCGCCTCTCTCTCCCCGGCCGGGACGGGGGCGCCGGCTCGGGCACCGGCTTGGGCGACTACTTTGCCGCTCTCGCGCCGGACGATTCGCTGAGAGAGCCCGTGTGGGGCGGCTGCTCGGCGTCGCAGGTTGGGAAGGCCGCTCGTGGGAGCTTGTGGTTTCTCACGCTAGAGCCCGGACCCCTCCCCGCCGGTGTGCCACAGGTGAACTCGATTTGGAGCAGGTTCGAGGCCGCCGGCGCCTGGCGGGGCGCGTGTGTCCCCTTTGGTGACAAGCGGTCCACCCTGCTGCGCCACTGCGGACCCGAGCAGGCGCTGGCTGACGGCGAGTTCTTCTGGCCAGTGGCGGATCTGCGCGAGGTTGGGGAGAGGGACCCCGAGCGAAACTGCACGACCGAGCATGGGGCGAGCGCCAACGGGTGGAGTTGCAGTAGGTTGTGATGTGTGTGAGAGAGATTTTTAGCAAACCAAACAACTTTTGTGTTGATGTGTGTCGCTGTGTCGTCGTCGGCAACATCGTCGGCCAAACAATTTTCTGGGTAATAAAGGAATCTCGGAAAAAGAAGAAATACCAGGGCGGCGGGGCAGAGAACTAGGACGCGACTTCACGCAGGCAGGGACGCCTTCTTCGGCATCACAACTTCGCCGCCGACGACGATCGCCACCGCGATCCGTGCGCGGCACCGCGCGCGCACACGCATAGACGGATGGCTTCGCGCCTGACGCTGCTGCTGGTCGCCCTGGCCAGCCGGCGCGGCGCAGCAACCATCCAAAAGCTTCCCACTTTGTCGCGCGCGGCAACCGCAGGCCCGGCGCCCGCCGCTCACCATCAATCGCACCTCGCTGTGCTCGTACGGCTGCCCGCAACAAGCACCTCGCCCATGCAGCCCGCGGTGTGCTTGGATGCGGCGTGGCGAGAGACGAGCGAGCAACGGAGCGGTGAGGCAAGAACGGTCGAGCCGTTCGCTGCCCGCTCGGCCGAGCCGTTCGCTGCCCGCTCGGCCTCCGTCGTCTCGCTCAAGACGGACTCGACCAAGGTTGGCCGCGTCGGGCCCGTGCAGTGGGCAGCCGCGAGCCTGCTTGCTTCGGCGTGGTTTTGCCTTGTCGCGGCCCTCTCCTTCCTTTTCCCTCCACTGCATCGGCACTCGGGGCGCTGGATCCGCACGGCGGCCGCGTGCACGCGGCAAGCCTTTTCTGGCGGCCCGAGTGTCGACGTGCTTCGCTAGCGAAGGCACGAGGCACGAAAGGAGCGCCCAAGGAGGATCCGCCCCCCCCCCCCCCCCTTTGCCCCTGCCCCCCGCTGACGCCGTCCACCAGCCGGCGCGCGGGCGACTGGCACGTGGCGAAAGGGATGTCCATGCACTGCGAACCCGGTCGCTCGCGACTGGGCTCCCTGACTTTCAACGCACCTGTGATTTCTTGCGAGTGTCGGCGCGCGCCGGGGCGGTGTCCGTGTCGCGCCGATTCGCGTGACGCTGACGGTCTTCTGTCTGACAGTATTGTTGATCTGATTGTTGATTATAAAAATATTTTCGCACTAGAGGCGTTTAGCAGGACTAGAGAAGGAGCTAGAACAGCCCGCAGGATCACACTCAAACCGACACACACACAGAGCAAGTGAGAGAGCGGGGGGCCGGGCGAACGCCTCCGGCAGACCGAGAAGTTGAGAGCGACACCATTGGGAAGAATGAGAGGGCCTGGATGGTTGAGACGCAGCCAGTATCGCTACTGTACACAAGGGCCAGTATCGCTACTGTACAGCTCACCATCACTCAGGGATTGCGGGAGGTGGCGGCCGCCCTGCTCCGCGTCTGCTGGAGCCCGGCCTCCCCTCGCTCGTCGACGCATGCGAGCGCTGCTGCACAGCGCCGCTGTCATACAACGCCTGGAACATGTCCGAAAACACCTCGCGGCATACCTTAGCATCCGTGCGCTCCAGCCGCTCGAACTCCACCTTGACGCTCGCGAGTGCCTTTGCCACCTTCCGGTCGTCCTGGTGCCGGTTGAGCTGGACCGCCAGGACAGGATCGACCACAGACCGCACGACACTCTCTTTCATCGCCGCCGCGGATTAGTCGGTCGAGGACAGCGGAGGAAAAGCCAGATCAGCGGAGGAAGGCGGATGGAAGCCAGTGCGCGGTCGCAAGGGCGGTCGCTCGCGTTTGTTACAGGTGGCAGGGGCGGTTCGGTTCTTTTTTCCTGGGTCGACTCCGTTTCAAGAACAAGCAACAGGCAAACGGCTTCTTACGCTCGGCCTCAGTGGGGGGTGCCGGCGCCGCCCCGCCGCCTCGTTCCGCGGGCCCTCAACCCTTCATGTAGTCCTCACCGACGCTGTGGGATCGCTTGTCATCTGAGAGAAAAAGAAAAACAGACAACCCAAGGGTGAGAAATCATGCGGACCGCGCTTTCTCTTTCTGGTGTACCTGTGTTAGTGCCAGTGCGCGCCAGTCCCGTGCCCAGTGAGCAGTGTTGTGCGAGGGAGTTTTGTTGTAAAATTCTCTTTCTCAGCGCCTGCCCCGGTTCGCACAGACAATTGCTTTTGCTATTCCTCCCGTCGCCAGTTCTCGCGCTGACGGTTCGCCTTTGTCATCGCCGCCACCCTGCTGTTTCTCTTTCTCAGCGCCTTGGCATCAACTCGCGAGCGGATCCCAGACTCTCTTTCCTCTCGTCGACAGTTCTCGCGCTGACGGTTCATGGAGGATCTCAGTGACCTCGCGCTGATCTTCCCGACCGTCGAGCGAAGTTTACTGGGCGAGCTTCTCGCCTTCAACGGAGGCGACGTCGAACGCACCGCAGCCGCGATTCTAGACGTCGGGTTTCCTAGCGGCCAAGCGAGTGACCTGGACGACTCAGCAATGGCCGCTCAGGAGGCGCTGGATGCAGCGCTGGCGCGCCAGACGCAGCAGCAGTTTGACGAGGAGTTCATCGCCGCTCAAGAAGGCGCTGCTCAAGAAGGCGCCGCAAACGCAACGATGCCCTCGCCCAGCGGACGGCAGGACCCGGTTTCCGCCTCGGGCACCGCCGCTGCGAAGGGGAAGCGGATGAATTTAAAGCTTGTCGCACTCAAACGCAAGAGCAAGGGCGCGAAGAAGGAGGGGCAGAGGAACAGCCTCCTGCCCCAAGGCGCCGATCCCAATCCCCCTCGCCACCGCTTATCCCTCCATCCTCTCTCGCACTCGCGGTTTGTTTGTCTTAGGCTACATCGGACAGAGCGACCAGAGCGACGCGCCCGGCAGCCCAGCGGCCGGCGCCGACAGCTTCCGCTCTCCGCCGGTACACCAGTCACGCCTGAGACGCGCGCCCGACACTGCGAATAGTGCGAGAGATGCCTCCGACTCCGCTCTGGCCGCCGGCTCACACACCGCCGCCCTTTTGTGCTCCTCACCCGGCTCCCTCGCCCCCCCCCCTGCGAGGCGGTGGCGCCGCCGCCAGCGTGGACCAGCTCGCCCAGCAGCGGGTCGAGCATCACCGCGGAGCAGTACTCGGCGCGCCTCAGCCGCGCGCGCGCGGCGAACCGCGCTTCGCAGAACCGCGCCTCGCTCAGCACGGGGCCGGCGAGTTGAACGCGCAAGGTGGAGAGCGCAACGCAAGCCTGAAATAAAGGAAGGCACGGCGAGTCAGGCAGCAGTAGCAGGAGCTGTGTGTGTTATCTTTGAGGGACCTTTTGTGCGATGCGGCGTAATTGCTTTGGGATATGTGCCTTGGTCGGTGATCTCGCAATCCCCGCCTACCTCGAGATTGGTCGGTGATCTCGCAATCCCGGCGCGCTTTACTTGAACCCCAGCTTGAAATACCTCCCCCCCCACGCTGTGAACAGTGAACAGAGATTGTGTCGCAAACCAGGTGGCGTTTATTTTTGCTAGGGCCGGGCATCATGCTGAAATTCTGCAAAAACCTGACCGGCCCCTGCCCTGCCCCTACCTACCTACCTACCTACCTACCCTACTTATGGGAAACTAAAAAATAAATCACCGGATGGGTGAAGGTGGGGTACTATACCAACTAGAGTGATGGTTGGTGGTACTCTCCTGCATCCACACTCCTTCTTGTGACATGGGAGGCCACTCTCAAGCCCTACAAGCATCAGATCACCCATTTGGGGAGGGTTGACATCGTGATTTCCGCGGAAAATTTCTTTTTCTGCTGTGAAAATTCCAGCTTTGAAGAGAGGGAAATAAACGCCACCTGCGCAAACAGCAAACACGGCGCTTGCCCCAAGACCCCCCCCTCAGCCGTCCATCAATGGTCCGCCCATCACGACCGCCAATTCCTCCGCCGCCGCCGGCCGCCTTGAGCTACGACAGCTACCAGCAGGGCTCCGTGTGCGCCGAAGACACACGTCGCTGCGTCCAACACGCCATTCCACTGATTGTCGCCGCGGCTGTCCTGGGCCTCGTCTCTCTGCTCCTCTACCTTCGCAGGCGACGGCGGCGCCGCCGCCAGCGAGAAGAGACCGTCGCGCGCACACTTGAGCGAGTGCCGCACGACGCCATAACGATGGCTGTCCAGTGTCTCCCGGTCATGGAGCACATCGGCGGTGGCGAGGTTGAGGTGCGGGCCTCGCCGCCCTCTCCCTGCCGGCTTCCTTCTCCATGCCGTCAGGGGTTGCAGGACCCGAAACCCTCTGCGGTGTCTCTCGCAGGAATGCCGCATCTGCTGCGAGGAGTACGCGCACGGGAGTCGCAAGCGGATTTTGCCCTGCAACCACGGTTTGCACCCTGCCGCCTGCCTCCGCCCTCCCACTATTAGTTCGCCTCACCCCCCGCTCCTCCATTCTCGCCCCATAGCCTTTCACCCGGCATGCGTGGACCTCTGGCTCCTGGGCAGCCGTGAGCAGGGCCCTCCCCGAGGAGAGCGCGTCTGCCCCATCTGCAAGGCGCGACCGCCAATCCCCCTCCCCTCGGCCCCGCACATGACATGGCGCGTGCCCCCAACAGTCTTGGCCCCCTCCTTGCCCCATTCTCTCTCACGCGCCTCCGACGCGGCGCCGGCGCTCCCTCTGACGCAGGCGCCGCCGCTCGACAGCTTTCTCCTGCAGGCGCGGCTCGGGCCCTTGAACTCGACGGCCACGAGCCGCGGTGACTGTCTTGCATCTCACCCTGATCGTCCCCCGCCCGCAGGCCTCTGCAGCGGCTCTGGTCGCCGGGAGGATGCGCAGTGGCGGAGCGGTGCGCTCGTCCCTCTCAGAGCAGCGGCAGCAGATGAGGCTTGCCTCCGCTGCTGCGGCCGACGCCGGCGCCGGCGCCGCGTCCGCCGCCCCTGCCGGTCGTGTGCGTAGGCTCGCTGCCGCGGCAGCTCGCTTCGCGGCCGGGCCGGGCTTGCGTTTCATTGATCCCCACGAGACGGCGCCGCCCGGAGCGATCTCGCGGAGGGCTCTTGCGAGGGCGCAGAGCCAGGCGAGGAGGGAGAGAGGCGCCGGCACCGAGGTCTAGCAAAAGAGGGGAAGCAAGGTGCTTGCGTGGGGATGACCGTGGGTGAGGAATTTAGATTAGCAAAGGGGCAAGGGCCCGTCAAGGTAAATTCTTCTTCACTTTACTCCGGGTGTGCGCGCGCGAGTCCCGTGCCCACGCAGTGAGCAGTGTCGTGTGCGAGGCCGGAGCTTCTTGTGAAATTCTTTTTTGTTAGTGCCAGTGCGCGCCAGTCGCGCAGTCCCGTGACCCGTGCCCAGCTAGCCCCGCGCGGAAACCGGAATTTTTGTGTGTATACCTGTGTTAGTGCCAGTGAGTTCGCGCCGCCAGACTTGGAGGTCCTCCCTCTTTTGGAGCGTCGTGCAGCATTTGGAGCACTTGGAGTGCGGTCACTAACCGCACGCCCAGGGCCGGGGAGCTAAGAAGCGCACCCAGCGGGCCGGCATCGGCCGAAAGAAAGAAAACAGACAACTCAAACGAGGGATGGGAGGACGGCACGCCGCCACCACACAGGGATTTCAAGGGGAGAAGTGCTACGGGCTAGAGACGAGTACTTGGAGCACTTGTAGTGCAGTTATCAACCGCACATCCAGGGCCGGGGAGCTAAGAAGCGCACCCAGCGGGCCAGATGATTGGTATCGGGTTACGGGCTAGAGAGCCCTAGCCCTGGGGGTTGCGCGTTCGCAGGGAAAGGGCCGTAAAGTAAACACGGGTCTCCGAGGGTTGGCTCTGCGCTCCGGGTTTCCCCTAGGCAGCGGAACGCCCCCTCTACTCGGAGCTAGTAGACACCGGACACTAACACGACAACACACACACTCCTCACTGACATCTCCGCTTGGAGCCCTCCCCCGCGCCGTGCGGCCTCCTCACCCCCATTCCGAAGGGGCTCCTCCCTCCCCTCGGTCCTCCCTCCTGCTCGCCTTCCGATGGTCCCGCGACGATTGCGGGGCCCGGCCCCCCCTCCTAGCCTTTTTCGGATTTCGGTTGCGGCCCCGTCGCCGTCTCGTCTTCTCTGCTCGATCCTGTTGACTCCGCCTCCGGCGATCCCGTGCCCGACTCCCCGGGCAAAGGCGGCGGCGTTGGGTCGTGTCGCCTCCCCTCCCCGGGGGGTCGGGCCGGCTCTCCTTGGTCGACGAGTCGCGCCCGCATCCGCGGTCTCTCTATCGTACTCGGCTCGCCTCCTCCCTCCGCCGGCTCCTCGTCGAGCTCGGGGGGTCGAGGCCCTCCTTGTCGTAGTTCACGGTGGTCTGGCTGTCGCCGCGACGGGTCTACCCCCGGTGAGCTCGTTTGTCCCGACTCCACTCGAAGAGGTCGAGCCAGCTCGACTCTCACCCCCTCCGACAGTTGAAACGCGCAACGAGAGAGACCCCTGTCTCTCTCAAACAGCTCGGCCGCGCCTTGGCCCCGTGGACGCACGTAGAACTTCACGTGACAAGGAGCTTCTAATGAAACCGGGCGGCGACTTGATCCTTCCCTCGGAACGTCGCCGCAAAGTAACTTATCTCCTGCGTTCGCATTTGGGCGGCCATCGCAACACTCCCTAGCTCAACTGTCGACCCTAACGGGTCGCCAGCCGATCGTCATACCCGGGCCCCTCCGGTCCCGGCCTTCCGGTCCGCCGGCAGACCCGTTGTCGTCTCGCGGCACCTCCCCTCCCTCGGCCCCCTCCCTCGGGTAGCCCAGCCTCCGAAGGGGCGGCTCCAGGTTCCCCAAGGTTCGTGTGGGTCCGAGCGGTGACGGCCACGCCGGCGGCGGGGGTGGAGGCGGTGGCGGGGGGGGCGGGTAAGGTGGCGGTACTGGCGGCCGCAACACCTGGTGTGGAGCCTCGGGGCGGCCCCCTGGCCCTGTGGCCGTTCCAGCCGCTGCTACAGGCATGGGAAGTGGGAGCGCTGTGAAAGAAAACAGGCAACCCAAACGAGGGATGGGGGAGGAGGACAGGGTCCACACCTGCACGAGCAGGATTTTGGAAGGACGATCAGGGGCACAGGTGGGGCTCTCCTGCTCCTGACAAGGGACACGACAGGCTCGCAGCGCGGTGCACGGTGGAATCCCAACTCCACTGGCGGTCTCATCTCAGTCTAGCGACCTTCCTCCGGCTTCTCATCGGCAGTCTCTCACTACCACGGGCACACTGACACAGGGGTGGCAGGGGCGGCGGCATGAGTCTCCCACATACTGAGCGCTGTGAAGTTCTCGTCAACGCACAACCAAAACTTGGAGCACTTGGAAAGAAAGAAAGAAAGAAAACGGACAACCCAAGGGAGGGATGGGGGACGGCACGCGCCGCCACCACACAGGGATTTTAAGGAGAGGGGTGTGGTGCACTAGCCGTCGCCCACCCTTGGGCGTCCGCCTCTTCCTATCTCTCTTCGCAGTCTCTCTCCGATTCTCGCTGCGATCTTCGTGCCACCTCGCGGTCGCCCCCTGGAGCACTTGGAAAAGAAAGAAACAAAGAAAACAGACAACCCCAGGGAGGGATGGGCAAGTAAAGAAAGAAAGAAAACAGACAACCCAAGGGAGGGATGGGAGTACGGCACGCCGCCACCACACAGGGATTTTAAGGAGAGGTGAGCAGTCATCAAGCGGACAAAATTTGTTTTTCTCGAAAAATGTCCATCGCGGTGTCGGCAAGAGCACTGTTCCGGTCGCCAGTGCCGGTGGCTGCGCTGTTCCGGTCGCCGGCTCGGCGCGTGAGCACGGCCGATACGGTGACGGTCACAGTCGCCGAGGCTCAGTCGAAAACGGCTGCGGCGATGCGCAAGATCGGCTGGGACGCCGAGGACGCAGCGCTCCAAGCGGTGCGATCTCTCTCACATCTGACACCTTGACTCTCATGATCGACGACTCTCACGACCAGAGCTGTGCGCCCGCCGCAGGAGATCATGACGGCGGCAGAGCTTTGCGGCAACAACCAGGGCCTCGTCAAGATGTACAACCCGTCGCTGATGGCGCCGTCGCCCGGCGCCGCAAAGCCAACGATCGAGCGGGAGACGCCCACCTCGGCAGTGGTCAATGCGAACCAGTCGCCGGGGATGCTCGCGGCGGTCAACGCCGCCGACTTGGCGCTGCAGAAGCTGCGCTCACAGGACGGACCGATCGCCATCGTCACGGCGTACAACACTTCCACGTCAAGCGGGCAGCTCGCCTTCTACTGCGAGCGGATGGCGCGGCAGGGCGCCATCGGCATCGCCCTCGCCAACTCGCCGGAGTTTGTCGCCGCCGCGCCCGGTGGCAAGGTTTGTGCACACTTCTCATCTGGATCACACATACGCAGACCCCCCAGTCCGGCCCCCCTCTGCCTCAGCCAATTTTTGGCACAAATCCCGTCGCCTTTGGCATTCCGCAAGCGGCGGGCCCGCCTCTCACATTCGACATGGCCACCTCGGCGATCGCGCTCTTCGGCGTGCTCACCTCCAAGGCCAAGGGCGAGCCGCTGCCCGAAGGAGTCGCTTACGGCCGCGACGGCGGCTTCACGACTGACGCGTCCGAGGCGCTCATCGGGGGTTGCCAACCTCGGGTCTCGGCGAGTCTCGGAAGATCTCCAGAGTTTCTTCAGGCGCTCGAGGGCGGCGCCATCGCGACCTTCGGCGGGCACAAGGGCGCCGGCCTCTCGCTCTGCGTCGAGCTGCTGGCGGGTGTGCTCAGCGGTGGGGCGGTGGTCGGCCAGTGCGAGTCGAAGAAGCTTGCAAAGAGCTGGGGGTGCGTCTTTAGCCGCGGGGAATACGCGGGGGCCTCCCCCCGGCAGAGATCAGCCGAGTTTGCTCCCGAGATCCCCCCCCCCCCCCCCTTCTCGTGCAGACACACGATGATTGCCATCCAGCCGGACCTCCTCGTCGACGGCTTCGAGGCCAAGGCAGCGGCGGTCCTCGCGGCGACCAAGGCGAGACACGCCGGAGCGGCAGATGAAGCGCGCTGTGGTTTCTCACGGTCGCTTCGTGGTCTCGGCTAGGCTTCCGGCCCGTCGATCCGCTTGCCCGGCGAGTCGTCGGCGCGGACAGCGGCGGAGCGTACTGCCGCAGACGCGCTGCCCATCCCCAAGCAGATATGGGAGTCGATCTGCCGCACCGCGGAGCACGGCTTGCCCGAGCAGTGAGCCGAGAGGGCGCAGCTCGTGGTATGCAAGGCCTCGGCTGTGCGCCGTGTGCGGCATGGTGGGTACGAGGGATGTGTGCTGCATGGCATGCGCATGACGCGGTCCGTGCGCGCGTGTTGCTCCGTCACAGTTACAATACACACACATACCATACACATACACATATGTCATTGCGGTATTGAAGTGTTCTTTGGCACTTATTTAGGTACCTCTTATTAAAGCTACATTCACTGACAAAAATCTTTGCAGAGTTTTCAAACTGCGTGTGGTCCGCCCCCGTGTCTCGCGTGTGGACAGAGTAACTCACTCGCTACTGGGCTGGGTGTTTTTAGCATTCATCTTTCATGGGCATTGTGGGGTTGGCACTCCCATCGATCCTCGTGACCTCCTGCGGTCTCTGAGATGGACACCAGTGGGTGTGGGACCACAGCCAGGGTACACTCGAAGGCTGGGTAAGCAGTAGAGGTCGATACTCGACGCGTCCCACATGGTCTGTGTCGCTGTCGGCACGCTGTCGACAGGACGTCGAGCGACACCGGTGGCAGTGCCACCCAGGAGTGGTCGGTCGGTCTCCCGTCACGAGAGAGCCACCATGTGATCCGTATGATGATTCCTGACAACCGCCTCAGTCAACTTTCGTCACAGTTCCCGCTCTGAGAGGAGCTGCGGGTCAGTTCGACAGCTGGAGCTGTGTCGCCGGCGACCCGGCGTGCGGCGGCCTGCCTCCGGAGGTGCCTCTGAGGTGGACATTTTTTGGTCACCGTGAGAGAACGCGTTCGAATTTTCACTCCGGAACTTCAACTCCGCACGCGCACCGGCCAGGGCTACAATAGTGCCAGTGAGGCGGAGGCCGAGTCGGAAGAAGGCCGCGACCGTGATTTGGTCCCTCCACTGAGTCGGAAGGCCGCGACCGTCAAGTGTTCCCTCCATTTCCCTACTGTTGCGGCCTAAAGTCTGTGCAGGTTGGAGCGAAAAAAAGAAAGAAAGAAAACAGACAACCCAAGGGGGGGATGGGAGCGACAGCGACAGTCGCACGCGCCGCGCTTTCTTTGTTTGAAGTAAAAAGTCGAAGCAGAGCCCGTAGCCCGATCCCGATCATCCGGCCCGCTGGATGCGCTTCTCAGCTCACCGGCCCTGGATGTGAGGTTACCGAATGCACTCCAAGTGCTCCAAGCAGAGCGGCGTCGGCGTTGATCTTAGTTTTCCTCCCTCGTACCGCCCGTCCGGTACCGCTCCGGGATGCACGCCGGCGAAGCACCATCAAGCTGCTGTACGGCCCCGGCATCGCCTTCCCAGGCTTAGCTAGACTGAGAGATATTGTGCACATGGATCATGGTCAGTCTCTACAATATACTCACTGACACTTTACCTTCCAGAGCTCGTCCCGGTCCGTCACGGCCATCCTCGGCCTCCGGAGGGCCCCTGGCCGCGACGCGGTACTTGGCGCGGTGCGGCGGCGTCACAAATCCGACCACAGAGCACCGGGACGCGGCCGGGCGATCTGAGGCCCGACTAGGCGTATGCATTGCCTATCCAGGGCTATCACTTCCTATCAACAGGCGCCTGCGGCGCCGTGGTCAGGAGCTGCTGTTCACACCTGCACAGACTTTGATACGGCACAATCGCTGTGAACCCAGCCACGTACGTACTCAGTACACACGAGTAGGTGACAGTCGCCCGCGGTTGACGGTTAATTCCCGAACAAGAATTCTTTCCTGAAGAAGAAAACTGCTGAACAAGTTCCTCTTGTAGCTCGATCGGTCACACCGCCATCGCCGCCGACGTCTCCCAGACGGTCTCAGACCTACATTCTATATTCCAGAATGGCATTCTATAATATAGAACGGCCAGGTAGGGCTGAGACCGCAGAGTGAGACGATGGAGAGGGGGGACGACACTGCTTCAGCAGCGTGCACCTCGATCCTGTACCGTGTTTGTTATGCCCCCCCCCCCCCCCCCCCATGAACACACCAGCGAGGGAGGGCGATACGATCGAGGGGTCCCGTATCCAGTGCTCAAGTGCTCAAGAAGAAAAGAATTTATTCGGTCAAAGAATCGCTCGAAATGAATGTTTCCGGCTTGGAGGCGGACTCTCCGGCTTCGATCAAACCCAGCGCGCCGGCAGCAGCGCAAGGGCCGGCATGGGGTACGATAGAGCGCTTCTGGGCGAGTTCACGCCGCCCGCCGGGAGTGTCACGGCGCTCTCCTCCAGTGCCACGCTCTTCAAGGCGGTCGTTGGCACAGGCATCTTCGCTCTGCCTCCCGCGATCCGTGAGGTGGGCTGGCTGGCCGGGAGCGTGATGGTGCTGCTCATTGCAGGGCTGAGCGCCTACACGATGAGCCTCGTCGTGAGCTGCGTGCAGGAGCTGAGGCGCCGCGGCCACAAGGGCGTCGGCGCCGGCGGCGCCATCGAGTTCACCGACCTGACCGCCTTCGTCTTCCCGGGCCTCAACCGGCCGATCCTATTTGTCTGCCTCATCGCCAACTACGGCGCCATCCTCGGTTTCTTCGACTTCGCCGTGGCTAATCTGCTTACCCTCACGCCCTTCCTCTCGCGCTGGCAGCTCATCCTCGCCATTGTTGCGTTCGAACTGCCCCTCTCCCTCCTGCGGTCCACGTCTCACCCTGTCTTCAAGCTTGCGATGACATTTGGCAATCTGGCGGTAGCTGCGGCGTGCGCGAGCGTCGTCTATTCCGGCGCGATGTCCACTGAGCCTAGGCCCCTCAGCACGCTCCCGGCCTACGACAGCAGCGGCCTAGGCCTCGCCTTTGGGGTCTGCATCTTTATGTTTGCGGCTCACATGGAGTGCGTCAGCATTGAGCAGGACATGCGCACCCGGCGCAATTTCCACACGATGCTGCTCTGGACCTTCGTCGTCATCGTCGTGCTACACCTCGCCTTTGGGATCTTCATCTACAGCTGCTTCGGAGAAGCTGTCGGCCGCGAGTGGAAGGACGGCCACTGGGTCGACGCCACAATCTTGCAGAACGTCGGCGAGAATAGTGCAGTCAAGCTGGCCATGAGCGCCAATCTCTTGCTCATGACGCCAATGACGCTGCTTCCCGTCTCCAAGGCCATTGAGGACGCCTTCGGCGTCCACCAGAGCTACCGCCCGGTCGCATATAGCCGCTGCACTCGGCTTGGCCTCATCGCGTCGTTGGGTCTGCTCGCGGCCGTGCTATCCAGCTTTGAGGGCGTCTGCGCGCTCGTTGGCTGCCTCACAGGGCTGTCGTGCTTCACGGTGCCCGCTGCCTGCTACCTCCACATCTTCTCCCACCGTCTCGGCTCCCTCCGCCGGGTGTGGTTCGTGGGCCTGGTCTTGTTCGGCCTAGTTGGCACTGCCTTCTCCGCCGTGCAGGTTGTGGTTGGCATGGTCGCAGCGCAATCCCAGCCGGCTCAGTGAGGCCGTGGCACTTTTGCGCGATCGGAGACACGGCCGTGCGGCTGCACGTGCTGCTGGGCGAGCACCAAAGAGAGTTCTCTGGGTCAGGGGGGGGGGGGGGGACTGCGAGCCCGAGGGCCGAGGGGCGCGAGGCCGAGGGGTGGAGGGGGTCGGAGCGCTGCACGGGGGCGTCCTGCCTCCTGCGTCCTGGGGGCGTTTCACCGTGTCGCGCCGCGCGGGCCGCGGCGGGCCGGCAGCTAGTGTGTCTCGAGAGATGGTGATGGACAATATCTCAAATAAAAAGAGGTATTTTCGTACATTCTTCGCGCGCAACATCGTCGAACACATCGTAGATCGGCCTCTATCAGTCTCCCCCGTGCGTGGCCGAGCACAGGCCACGTCGGGGTGTCGTCGGCTGAGAACTCCGAACCCGGGTCTCAGTCACCCCAACGCAACCCTCGAACTCGCAACGACTGCGCAACCCGACACCCGCGGCATGCGGGGTTGCGGGCCGTCCGTCCCGACTGTGTGACCAGAGCGCTGAGACGATCTAAAGCGCCTCCAGGATTCGCGCTATCAAAGCGGCCTTCACGCCGGTGGCGACGAGGCCGCGGCGCTCGCACTCGCTGCGCAGCTCTGCCACCTTCAGCGCCTTGAGCCGCTTCTGCGCAGCCTCCCTGTCCTCCGCGGCGGCAGCTTCTGGCTCCGCTTCGCTGGCGGCAGCTTCTGGCTCCGCTTCGCTGGCGGCAGCTTCTGGCTCCGCTTCGCTGGCGGCAGCTTCTGGCTCCGCCGCCTCGCTGGCAGCTTGGGCGGGCGAAGGGGCCGGCGCGGGCGCAGCCTCGGCGACGGCTCGGCTGCGCTTCTTCGACTGCCGCTCGCTGGAAGGGGCCTCGGCGGGCCTTTCCTCCTCGGCAGCGGCGACACCGACGGACTCAGCGGCGCCCTCCGTCCCGTCACCCCCCGCTGGCGCGGCATCGGCGGAGGCCGCCTCGGTGGAGGCGGTATCGCCGGCTGCGGCGGGCAGCGCAGAGGCGAGCGGCTCCACCTTGGAGAGGCGAGGGGTGGCGAGGGGTGCGTGGCGAGGGGTGCGTGGTGAGAGGGGAGTGGCGCGTGGTACGTGTGGCAAGGAGGGAGTGTGAGTGGGCGAGTGGTGAGTGGGGGAGTGAAGGAGGGGGGTGGGGGAGAGGGGGAGTGGGAGCGGCGAGCAAACCTCGCGGAGAGCCTATGGGACGTGTCTCGGACATGTCATGGACGTGTGATGGACATGTCGCGCCTCTGTCGTCTCGCGGGAGCCGAGAAGCCCTCGGAGCCAAAGACACAGACGGGGGTGTCGGCGGGCAGGGCCCCTTGCTCGACCCACGCCGTCATGGTTGCGAGGCCGTACGGCCCCTGCACCGCGCCTGCCCGCGGAGCAGCACACAGCGTGAGGAGGCGCGGTACCGGGGGAGGGGGAGAGGGGGAGGGGGAGGGGGGAGGGGGAGGGGGGGACGCTAGCCCGAAGGGTCGCCGTAGAAGAAGCGTTGCTCTTCCGCCCCTCCGCCCTCCTCCGCCCCTCCGCCCTCCGCCGCCTCGCCCTCCGCCGCCTCGCCTCCCTCCTCCTCCTCCTCCTCCTCGTCCGAGTCGTCCGAGTAGGCAACGAGAGGCGCAGTCTGCGCGCCGCGTGCCGCCGCCGCCGCGGGAGGCTCCCACTGAGTCAGACCTGCTCACAGCTCGGCGTGTGAACAGACGCGGTCCGCAGCCGGACGCGTGCCTCTCGCGGCGCTGGCCGAGGGCGGCGTTTGAATAGTAGTAGCAGCCGTGCGCCGCCGACCACTCCGCCACCCAGCCGCCCCCCAAGGCCGTCCGCGAGGCGGCCGCCGCATGCGCCGCCGCCGCCGCCGCCGCCGCCGCCTCCCGGCTCTGGCGCAGCTCTCGTGCGCCGACCAGCGTGATGCGCTGGCCGGTTGGCGTGTAGTGGCTCAGCGCGGCGGCGGCGGCGGCGGCGGCGGCGTCGGGGAAGAGGAGGGCGGCGTAGCCGTCGCGGGTCGAGGTGACCGACTCGACGTTGAAGGGGGCGAAGATGCGGCTGAGCGTGTTCGTCCCGTACGACCCCTCCCCGAGCGGGGCGCACAGCGTGCGCGCCTCGTCAAACCTTGCGACGCCGTGCTGGCCGCGTGCGTGCCCCGTCGCGGGTGCGGCCTGGCGCGGCGGAAGCATCCCGGAGCGGCCGTCGTCCGCCCGCCACGTGCGAGACCCCTCGTCGATGAGCACGCCGCTCCGCTTGAGCGAGTCACGCAGCGCGTCGGCGCCGCGAAAGTCGCGCGCAGCCTTGGCCGTCTCCCGCCGCAGCAGCATCGACAAGACCTGCTCGTCGCCGAGTGGCGGGCCGCGCGGCGGGGGCGCGCCGCCCGCCCCGCCCGCCGCCCCCGCCGGCTGCGACTCCGCCACCTTGCTCAGCGTGATCGTGCAGCCGTGCAGCTCGCGGCTCTGCAGCTCGACCAGCGCCTTGTCTCGCTCGCCCCCAAAGCGGAACTGCACGACGGCGGAGCCGCGGCCGCGCTCGAGCTGCACGCTGTCGACCGTGGAGTAGAAGCGCGAGAAGAACTCCTCCACCTGCGCCGCGCTCACGCTGGCGACGAGCCCGCTCACGCGGAGCCGGGCCTGCTGCTTCTCACCCGCCCTCTCCTTCTTCTGGCCGGCGCCGTCGGCGGCAGGCCTGAACCACGCGTGGACGGCGCCCATGTTGCTGCCGGACGCGTCGATGCTGCTGCCCATGTTCGGGTTGCCCGCGGAGCGAGGCATGTTGGTAGGGAAGGGGCTGGGAGATCGAGGGAGAGCAGTGAGCGCCAGGGCAGCGCGGCTTGCGAAATACAGAAAAAGAATTCCCCACGGGGTCATCCGGCCAAATCCCTCCCTTGATGCACGCCCTGCGAGCGGGGCGGGGTGCGCACTGTCCCTCTGTGTTCGTGTGCGTCGCCCATCTCTCCCTGGAGATGACTGCTCTATTTATTCCCTCGCTTTTGCAAAATCCTGCAAAGGTGGGGACGTGTCTGTCCTCGACCCAGCCCTAGCTTGGGATGTCCGTTGTATTTATTCCATCTCACAGTAGAGAGGTGTCCGTTTTTATTTATTCACATCTTCTTCGCGTCAAGCTGGCCATCCTCCGTAAATGCCACCTCCTGGTTGCACCACGTGGGACAGGCAAGCCCCTTGTGCCGCTCCTCGCGCCGCTTGTTGTTCTTGGTCGACTCGTGAGAGATCATCACGCCCGGCTTCTGGTCCGGGTCGTCGTCGGTCGGAGCAAGCTTGCGCACGTTTTTCCGATCGAGAAGGAAGTAGTCGTGCGCCCGATCGCCATGGACAGTGCCCCCCTCTAGGTACAGCCCCGCTGACATCTCGCGTTGCGACGTCGGGTCGATGTGCTTGATCATCTCGTTGAAGACGCCAGTCGTCAGCGCCGGCGGCAGCCGCTTCTCCACACGCGCTACGGGCAGCTCACTCTGCACGTACTTCATCACAGCCGCAGTCCACCCGTCGTACATCGGATTGGCCACGTTCACGCCTGGCCAGCGTCGCAGCTCCTCCTTGACCCAAATGCGCAATGCCGTCGCGTACTGCTGGATGCTCTGCAGCTTGAAGGGATCGTCTTTGTATGGCCCCACCCAAACTTCCCCTTCTTCTCGAGCGGCATCTGGACCTCCGCCTGCGAGCGGCCATGGAGCGCCGTGGCGTACAGCTCCGTGTTAGCTCGCAGCTCCCTGCATCCGCCCTTCTCCACATCGCCGGTCATCATGCCGATGCAGAACTCAATCCACGCCTCCACCGCAAACACACGCGGAAGCCCGGTGACCGCATCAACGATGATCTCCAGCTTGGCGAGGCCGTTTTCCATCACCACCTTGCAGAAGGACGGATACCCCTGCTTTTGAAGCCACGCATCGAAGCCCAGCACCCGCTTCTCGTACTGCGCGCTCACCCGCTGCTGCCGCTCCTATAAAGACAACCACACGTGTGAGCCTAAGGGAGCGGCGTGCTCTGCCCGCACCGCCGCACCATCACGCGCCTTGCCTTGGAAGCTGCCTGCCTGGAGCCACACCTGGAACTTGCCGTGGTGCTCGGCGTCATTTGCTTAGTCCTTGCGTTGCGGCATCGATGCGACCGACAAAGAGCCCGCTGGGGTCTCCCTTGCGATTGCCTCGGTGCCCCGCCAGCGTGCTTTTGTCATCATGCTGTCGTGCCTCTCCGCAGCCGCCGCGCTACCGCGGCCTCCGCCGCGGAAGGTGGCCCGCGCCTTCGCGAATCCCGTCTTGCGGCTTTTGCCGGATGCCCACCGCTTGGCCTCATTGCGGGGGCGGCCACCGGGCCGTGCCGTGGCCGCCCCCGTAGCTCGCGAAGCTGCGAACCGGGCTGCGTCCACTGCGCCGCGCCGGCGCGCCGCGACCGTCGGCCCCCGGACTCGGTTTTTCGCGGCCTGCGCCGGAGAGTTGGCGGTCGTGTGCTGGGTGGTGATCGTCATCTGTCTGCTCTGCTGTGCTTCTCGCTCGTGCGTCCTTGGAAGTTGTGCTGACCTCCTTTCACCTCCTGCTCTCCTATGCCACGTGGCTGTGTGTGTTTGGGTTTCTATGTTTGCGATTTGGATTTTGGATTTTCCATTGCACTTTGTTTATTTATTTATTCCCTCCCTTGGCTTGTCTGTTTTCTTTCTTTCTTTCTTCAAATCCCTGTGTGGTAGTGTCTGTTCTTTTTCTTTCCGGCCCGCTGGGTGCGCTTCTTAGCTCCCCGGCCCTGGATGTGAGGTTACTCACTGCACTCCAAGTGCTCCTTTCGCACACGACACTAACCCTAGGCACGGGACTCGGCGAGGGACCACTGCGAAGGGAGATAGAAAGAGGCAGACGGCCAAGGGTTAGGGTGGGCGACGGCTACGCGTACGGGCTAGCACCCGACACTCCTCTCCTTAAATAAAAATTAAAATCCCTGTGTGGTGGCGGCGTGCCGTCCTCCCCTCGCTCCCTTGGCTTGTCCGTTTTCTTTCTTTCTTTTAGGCAGGGGACTGGCGCGCACACACTGGCACTAACAAGAAAAAGATGAATCTCCCGCCTCCATAGCGGCCGCGGCCAGCTCCGCGCCGCCGCCGCGGCTTTCGCCACACCGCCGCCGCGCCCACCCTCGGGCTCGCCCCGCCGTGACGCCGAGCCAAATCCTCTCCTCGTTGAGCCCGCGAGAAGCCGGACCATCCCCTCCTTGTCCAACTGCGCGGGCTTTCTCACGGCCCCGGCGACCACACCTCGATCTTCTTGGGCAGCAGCTGGTTCGACAAGTCCTCTCCGTGGCCTAGGCTGCCATATTCACCCTTGCCCCAGCTCCAGACAGCGCCTTCGGCAGTGTTGGCGAGGCTGTGGTAGCCTCCAGCCGACAGAGCGACGACGCGCTGCCCAGCCAAGGCCTCGACCTTCTTGGGCAGCAGCTGCTTCTGCTCATCGCCGTGGCCTAACCGGCCGTTGCCTCCACCGCCCCAGCTCCAGAGGGCGCCGTCGGCGGTGAGGACAAGGCTGTGCGCCATTCCAGCCGACACAGCGACGACGCGCTGGCCAGCAAAGGCCTCGATCTTCTTCGGCAGCTGCTGCTGCTGCTGGTCGCCGTGGCCAAGCTGGCCAAGGCGTCCATCGCCCCAGCTCCAGACGGCTCCGTCAGCGGTGAGGGCGAGGCTGTGCCATGCTCCCGCCGACACAGCCACGACGCGCTGGCCAGCCAAGGCCTCGATCTTGTTCGGCAGCAGCTGCTCCTGCTCGTCGCCGTGGCCCAGCTTGCCAAAGAAGCCATCGCCCCAGCTCCAGGCGGCGCCGTCGGCGGTGAGGGCGAGGCTGTGCTGGCCTCCAACCGCCACACCGAGGACGCGCTGGCCATCAAACGCCTCGACCTTCTTGGGCTCCAGCTGCTCCTGCCCGTCACCGTGGCCCAGCTGGCCATAGGCTCCATAGCCCCAGCTCAAGACAGCGCCGTCGGCGGTGATGGCCAGACTGTGGTGCTCTCCAGCCGTAACAGCGACGACGCGCTGGTCAGCAAAGGCCTCCACCTTGTTCGGCAGCAGCTGATTCTGCTCGTCGCCGTGGCCCAGCTGGCCAAAGCCTCCTACGCCCCAGCTCCAGACGCTGCCGCCGGCCGTAAGGGCGAGGCTGTGCCCGCCTCCAGCCGCCACGCTCACAGCGCGCTCTCCCAGCGTCGAGGGAAGGCGGGTCGGCGTATTGAGCCGCGTCACGCCCTCGCCGTGGCCGAGGACCCAGGGACTGTTCGCTGAACCGCACGACGAGAGCCGCCCCTCGCCGTCGATGAAAAGGCTGTGCGTAAAGCCTGCAGACGCCCTCGCCGGCGGGTTGGCCTCGCGCAGCAGCGCCGAATAGCACAGCCACCGCACGACGCAGCCCTCGCCCTCTGGCAGCGCCGGCAGCTCGAAGCCGCGCTCTTGCGCCCACAAGCGGATGCCCTCCTCCGCAAGCGAGGCGTGAAAGAGCAGCGAGACGGCCGCGACGCGAGCGATGTCGACGGGGACGCAGCGAGAGAGGGCGCGCGCGAGGAGCTCCGTGGGGAGGTCGAGGAGGCGGGTGGGCGGCGGCGTGTCTGGCGAGGGAGCGGCGGTGGCGGCGGTGGCGAGGCGGCGCGAGCGGCGGCGCGGCGGGGTGGACATCGCGTGAAAAGAAAAAGAAAAAACGAAAAAAGAAACAATCCCTGCTTCATGCCGCAGCGACCCCCGGACCTGCGTTTCGGCGTCTCATGGTTCGCCGTCGCGGTCACATTCGCTGTGTGCGTCGCCTGTTGCTGCTTCGTGGGGCAGTGGGGACTCTGGCTCCATCGAGCACAAGGCGGGCCTGCGCTGCCGCCGGATCCGACCGTGCAGCAAACTCAGCTCGACTGCAACTGTGCGCGAGAGCACCTCATCAACCAGTACTTTGTACGTGCTGCCACGTCCACACGACCACGCACGCACGCACGCACGCACACACGTAGCCCTCACCTTGCCATAGGACCGGAAGTACGTGCTGCCAGAGGAGCTCCTCACCCTCGATCGTCCCGCCATCATCTGCGTCACGCCGCACAACATCCTTCCGTGGTCGACCAGTGGTGCCATCTCAAAGCTGTTTGGCGGGAGGCTGACAGACTGGGGCGGCGCTCCCGTCCTGTTCAAGCTGCCGATGCTCAGGCCGCTGTTGGCCCAGTTTGGCACCTTCCCCGCCGGCAAGAAGGGGATCCACCAATCGCTCGCGGACGGCAACAACGTGGGCCTGGTCCTGGACGGCATTGCCGGCATCGTGTTCTGCCGGGCGCGCGGCCACGGGGACGAGCAGCTGTACCTGCGCAAGCGCAAGGCCGTGTGTGCCATTGCGCTGCAATCGGGAGCGCCCATCGTCCCAGCCTACTGCTTTGGCTCCAACGAGGTCGCGACGGTCCTCGCCGACCCGCTCGGGCTGCTTCGCTGGCTGTCGATCCGCTTCGACGTCTCTCTGACGCCCTTCGTCGGCCGCTGGGGGGTTCCGATGGGTGCCCCGCGGCGGAAGCCGCTGCTTCTCGCGTTCGGGCCCGCCATCGAGTGCACACAGCTGCCCCTCGACTGCGACGCGGCCGCCGTGAGCGCCGCTGTCGACGCGAAGCACGCGGAACTGCTCGAGGGCTACCGCACAATTTTCGAGACGCACAAGGAGGCGTACGGGTACACCCCTCCCTGGAAGCGATGTGCGCCTGCTCAAATTCTTTCCGACTTTCGTTCCGCAGTTGAGCGTGAACACACGACGCCGGTCCACCTCTCCAGCCTACCCCATACGCCGGGACACGAGTGAGCGCGCTGCTCCGACCCCCCCCCCCCCCCCCCTTTTTCCCGGAAGGAAGGGGGCAAGGGGGGAGACCCCCTGGTCACGGGGAATAGGTGGGGGGGTTCCCTCGTTTGCCGTCGCTGGGGGGGGGGTGGGTTTTTTTTCCCCCCCACGCCCCCCTTGGAGAAAGAGGAGAACCCCCCCCCCCCCCCGGCGGAGGGATTTCTTTTGGTTTTTCTTTTTTTGGTTTTGTTTCGTCGCTGGCTGGTGGTGGCTGGGCTTAGTTGTTTGCCACACACACCCCTTTAGGGTCACAGCCCCCCCCCCCCCCCCCGCGCTCGCGCGATTTCTTTTCCTTGTTCTTCTCGGTTCTTGTTTTTAAAACCATTGTTTTTTTTCTTACGCTGGACAGCGCAACGCGCGCATGAACGCGATACCGGTGGCGGACGAGGACTCGGACGACCTTCCGCTGGTTCGGGTGCGCTGCTACGCGCGGCGGGCGCTCCACTGGCGGCTCGACGTGGCTCCGCTCTGCGCCGCGTATGCCGCTGCGTTTGGCGCCTACGCCCTTCGGCCCGAGCTAGAGGAGGTGGCTGTCGTCGGCACGCCGTGCCTAGTGCTGGCGCACCTGCTGCTCTTCCTCGCCACGCACTGGTCTGTCCGCGTCCGGTGCGCCACCCAGCTCTACGCCTGCCCTCCGGCCAGAGCATCGCTGGTCTGCGCCGAACCCGCCTCCGGAGCGCCGCGCCTCTGCCCGCTGGAGCGCGAGGCGGCCGCGCCGGACGCCTTCTTCTTCACCTACCACAAGCGCAAGTACCTCCTCGGTGCTGCTGGCAAGGGCGGCGGCTCGCCGTCATGCCGCAAGCTGCGGATGCCGTCGAGCGAGCCGCTCTCGCACTACGCCGAGTGCGCGGGGCTGCAGACGCCGGCGGCGGTCGAGGCGGCGCGGGCGCGGTACGGGTCGAACGACTTCTCCATCCCGCGGCCCGCCTTCTCCGAGCTGCTGCAGGAGCACGCGACGGCACCTTTCTTCGTCTTTCAGATGCTCTGCGTGCTGCTCTGGCGCCCGCGACTGCTAGCGCTCCGCGGCCGAGCCCAGCGCCTCTCCACGCCCACCGGCTGTGCACGGCGTGTGGCGTAGGTGCCTCGACGACTACTGGTACTACTCGGTCTTCACGCTGCTGATGCTGCTCCTTTTCGAGTGCGAGATCAGTCGAGATCGGTCGAGATCAGTCGAGATCAGTCGAGATCGATCGAGGTCGTCCGTCGCGCAGTCGTGCCCTCTGTGAAGGCAGCACTCCTCGGATCTCTCTCCCCCCCCGAGGTGCACCGTCATCAAGTCGCGCCTCCGCAACGTCGACGAGCTCTCCGAGCTAGCCACGCCCGCCTCGGCCGTGCTCGCCCGCCGCTGCGGTTGGGGGCGCATGTCCTCGTCCTAGCCACCTTTGAGCAGCGCTGGTTCATACCTCCGGCCGTGAACAGGCAAGTGGGAGCGGCTCTCGTCGACCGACTTGCTCCCGGGTGACCTCGTCGCGCTCGCGCGCACGCCGGCCAGCCGCCTCTAGATGCTGAACACAGGGCGTTGACCTCACACCGCTCGAGAGGCCACGTATTCGACGGGACTCGGCTGGATTCTACAGTGGATTCCCGCCCCGACTTTTCGACGCAGCGAGCCGCCCCATCTCGGCCATCTCTGCCCACATCCCCCCACAATTCCCCACATCTCCCCAACTCTCCATCCCACAGGCGAACCGCCTCCTCGGCCAGCCAGTCGACACCATCGTGCCGGCGGACGTGCTTCTGCTCCACGGCTCGAGGCGCCTAGATGCGGGAGAAGACACGAGGGTGCCCTCGCGAGCAGCCGACACGAACACTCCCGGAGACAGCGATGTGTCTCCGCGACACAGAGAGCTCTGCTCTCCCTCCCGGCGGCGGCGGCCTCGCGCACTAGTCGTGACTCGCCGGCAGACGGCGGAGGGGTCGTCAGAGAGCGAGCATTCGTCTCTAGCGAGCCGCAGACACGAGGGGACTCATCTCCACGGCACCCGACGGCACCTTCGCGCCGTGTCCACGCCCTCGTGCCGACACACACACTGCTGCACGCAGCACACCGTCTCCGTCTCCGTCCCCCCCCCCCCCCCCCTCCCCTGGCGCAACCCCGCTCCGGGCCCGCTCGCCCTCCACGACTCCAAGACATGTCCATCCCCCGCCCACATAGACACAGACATGTCCCACGTCCCCACGACACGTCCACGACACGTCCCGCAGGCTCGCTCGCCCTCAACGAGTCCGCGCTCACCGGCGAGTCGACGCCGCAGCTCAAGGAGCCCCTCCCCTCGCTCGGCCTCCCCCCCTCCACGCGGCTCAACCTCGCCGAGCACCGCGCCTGCGTCGCCCTCGGCGGCACCAAGCTGCTGCAGCACTCCGCCGGAACCCAGCCGCGCTCGCAGCAGCCGCCCGGCGGCGGCGCCGTCGGCGTCGTCCTGCGAACCGGCTTCCACTCGTCGCAGGGCAAGCTGATGCTCTCCTCCTAGATGCCTACGGCAGAGCACATGTCTGTGCTCGTCGGCCTCGTCTTCTCGCGGTGCTGCGAGTGCACTGCACGAGCCCCCGTCCTCCCGCCCCCCCCTACAACTCTCTGCCGTCTCTCCACAGCGCAGGCGCACCATCCTGTCCGCGACGGAGCTCTGAGTTAATCAGTGGGCTGGTTACTTCACTAATCAGGCGAACGATCCTCTTCGCGACGGAGCGGGTAAACGGCTCTGACCGCGAGACGCTGCTCTTCATCCTCTTCCTGCTCGCCTTCGCCATCGCCGCCGCCGGCCACGTCCTCTCCGTCGGTCTTGCCGACCCGGCTCGCTCGCGGCGAGCCTCAAGACTCAACCGACACACCTCCGAGACACACCCGACACACGGACCCGAGATCCGCGAGGCGCGTCCGAGACACGTCCTAGACACGTCCGAGACTCATACGACGAGACGGCCGCACTGCTCCGCACGGTGATCACAGTGCGGTGGTCGCGCCTCTCCACGCCTCCGCCTGTGTGGACAGGCACAAGCTAAGGTAAGGTAAGGTAAAATTCTAGGTACAAGCTCGCGCTGCACTGCATGATGATCGTCACGTCGGTCGTGCCGCCCGAGCTGCCGATGGAGCGCTCGCTCGCCGTCAACCTCCCGCTGCTGTGAGCGGCGTCTCTTCACACCTCCAGCTGTGAACAGGAGCTCTCCCTCGCCGTGAACCACTCGCTGCTCGCGCTGCACCGGCGGGACATCTTCTGCACCGAGCCCTTCCGCATCCCTTTCGCGGGCAAGGTGCAGCTCTGCTGCTTCGACAAGACGGGCACGCTCACCTCGGACGACCTCGTCGTGCAGGGCGTTGCAGCCGTCCCGTCTGGCAGCGGCGGCGGCAGCAAAGGCAGCGATGGCGGTAGCGACGGCGGCGGCGGCGGCGGTAGCGACGGCGGCGGGGCGGCGTCCACAGGGAAGGCGGCCGCAGGGAAGGCCGCAGGGGGCGCGGGGACGGGGTCGGGCGGCCTCGTGTCGGAGCTGATTTCGCCGCTCGCGCTGCCCGCGCCGAGCGTCGCCGTGCTCGCCGGCTGCCACCACCTCATGCTTGTCGACGGGTGCGGGGCGCAGCCTCCTCCCCCTCCTCCTCCATCCACCACCACCTCCTCCTCGATCAGCCACTCGAGATCCTCCCGAGACCCGCACAAAAACGCAATTGCGCTGCCACCCGCCCGCCACCGACCCCGCCGACGCCTCTGCACGCCGCCTCTGCCCGCACCGCCTCTGCACGCCGCCTCTGCACGCCGCCTCTGTCCGCACCGCCATGCCCACAGTTACACGCACGCCTGCTGACGCGTCCGCGACACGCCTGCAGCGAGCTGCTCGGCGACCCGATGGACAAGGCGGCCGTCGGCGCGGTTGGCTGGAGCTACGCGCTCGAGGGGCTGTGCGTCAGCCGCGCGCCGAGCAGGCGCGGCTCCCTGCGCCTCCTGCAGCGCTTCGCCTTCGCGTCGAGCCTCAAGCGGTCGAGCACGGTCGTCGAGGTCGAGAGCCTCGACGGCGCGGCGCCTCCGCCGCAGCAGCGGCTCCGCGCGCTCTGCAAAGGCGCGCCGCAGCGCGCGTGCGTGCGTGCGCGCGCCGCTCGCTGCGGGAGGGGAGGGCCGCTGTCCACTCACCTCCGGCCGTGCCGCGAGTAGGAGCGCCGGAGACGGTGCGCGAGCTGCTCGGCCGCGTGCCAGAGGGGTGCGGCGCCGCCCAGCTCCTGGAGAGAGACGGCCCCCCAGACGGGTCTGCCGCCCGCGGGCAGGTACGACGCCGCCTACCTCCACCACGCGCAGCAGGGCAAGCGCGTGCTCGCGCTGGCGTACAAGATGCTGCCGCAGCTGCAGCCGCAGGAGGCGCGCAGGCTCTGTCCCTCTTCTCTTTTACTAGCTCGAGACGACTCGGCGTGTGCCCCATCGTTTCGTGTGCACGGCAACGACCCACCCCGGTGCGTTCACACACCCCCGGTGCATTCACACCCTCGTGCATTCACACCGCAGGCGCGCAGTCTGTCTCGTGAGGCGGTCGAGTCGGAGCTCACCTTTGCCGGCTTCCTCGTGCTGCACTGCCCCGCAAAGTCCGAGTCGGCGGGCGTGCTCGCCGCCCTCTCCTCCTCGTCGCACGGGCTGCAGATGATCACCGGCGACCAGATGCTGACGGCGGCCCACGCGGCGGCGCAGCTGCGGTTGATCACAAAGCCGCCCCTCCTCCTCGCCGCCCTCCCTCCTACCGAGGGCGCGGCGGGCGGGGGCGCGGCGGGCGCGGCCCTTCGGTGGGAGAGCTTCGGCGGCGGCGGCAGCGGCGGCGGCGAGGAGGTCACTGAGCCGTTCGAATCGAGCGGCGCCGCGATGCGGAGGCTCGCGGAGCGGTACGCCCTCTGCTGCGACGGCGCCGGCTTCGAGGCCCTCCAGCGGCTCGGCCTCCTCGCCTCGGCGCTGCCGCACGTGTCTGTGCTCGCCCGCATGGCGCCGGACCAAAAGGCGCCGCGCCGAGGCCGAGGCGCTTCTCCCCGCGCGTGACCCACACGCCACTCACCGCACGCGGTCTCTCGTGCGAAGGAGCTGGCCCTCAGCGAGCTCAAGCGCGCGGGCATCACGACGCTCATGTGCGGAGACGGCACCAACGACGTAGGCGCGTGCAACCCCTCCCCCTTCCCCCACCACACACACGCACACACACACACACACACACACACACACACACACACACACACACACACACACACACACACACACACACACACACACACACACACACACACAACACACACACCGCCAGATCGCCACCACCATTTCACTCCAAGCGCCTCACGGGAGTCCGCACGGCCCGCTGCCGGCATCCGGAGCCGCAATGCCAGTGCCCATTGAGCCTCAGCGCCGGCGCCGGCAGGAGCGCTCAAGCGGTCGGCTGTCGGCGTCGCGCTGGTCAACGCGACACTTGTGGCGCCGCCACCGCGCGCCGCCGACGTCGCCGACGAGGTGGCCGGCGCGGAGGCGGCCAGCGCGGGGCAGAGCGGGCTGCGGCAGCGGCGCGGCAGGCCGGCGGGGCGGCCCGGCCTGCAGGCGGCGAGACTAGCCGAGATTCGCCGAGATTCCGCCGAGATCCGCCGAGATGTGCCGTCGCCCCGGCCTGCAGGAGCGGCTGCAGGAGCACGAGCTGCCTCGGATGAAGCTCGGCGACGCCTCCATCGCCGCCGCCTTCACCGCGCGCTCTGCGTCGGTCGGCTCGTGCGTCGACATTATCACGCAGGGTCGCTGCACGCTCGTGACGACGCTGCAGATGTGCAAGATTCTCGCGCTCAACTGCCTCGTCTCCGCCTTCTCGCTCTCCGTCCTCCACCTGCAGGGCGTGCGCATGGGCGACACGCAGGCCACGTGCAGCGCTCTCGGCGCCGCTCCGCCGCACGCGCTTCGGACCCTCGCGAGCCGCGCTGTCCGCCTGAGCTAGCCTCCCTCTCCGCAGGCACGGCCCTCTTCTTCCTCTTCCTCTCCTCGTCGCGACCGCTCTCGCGCCTCTCGAAGCGGCGGCCGCCCGCGTCGGTGCTCTCGCCGTACGTGTTTTGCTCGATCCTCGCGCAGGTGGCGGCGGCGGCGGCGGCGGTTGTGTGGTGATGGTGTGTGTGTGTGTGTGCGTGCGTGCGTGTGTGTGTGTGTGTGTGTGTGTGTGTGTGTGTGTGTGTGTGTGTGTGAGTGTGGGGGGGGGGGGGGGGGCGTGTGTGTGGGGGCGTGTGGCGGCCGTTGGCGCACACACCCGGTCAGACACCTGGCAGCACGCCTCCCGTCCCCGCACCGCGCGCGGGTTAGCGAGCGGCGAGAGGAGACCCGCCGCCCTTTCCGCCCTCTGCCTTGCAGGTAGCGGTGCATCTGCTCGTGCTGCTGCGCACCTCGGCGCACGGCACGCGGAGCCTGGCCGCTCGGCGCCCGCCCCTTGCGAGGTGGGGCGTGCCTCGGAATAGGCGCTCGGCGAGGAGCACGGGCCGAGCGAGCCGCCCGAGCCGGACGGCGAGTTCGAGCCCTCTTTGCCAAACTCGATCGTGTGGCTCGTCTCGACCGGGATGCTCATCACCACCTTTGTGGTCAACTACAAAGGGCGGCCCTACATGGAGAGCCTCGCCTCCAACCGCGGCCTGGCGGGCACGCTCGCCGCCTCGGCGCTGCTCATCCTCACCCTCGCCGCCGGCGCGCTCCCCGACCTCGCCGCCTACCTCGAGCTGGTGCCGATCGAGAGCGAGGCGCTTCGCGGCGAGCTGCAGGCGCTGCTCGCGATCGACTTTGGCGCGTGCTGGCTGCTCGAGCGGGCAATCTCGCGCCTTTGGTCTTACTGAGGCACCCAGTTGGGCGCCGGAAACCTCAGTCAGCGAAGCGGGGGCGTCCACAGATATTATAACGCCCGAGAGGAGCCGCGAGGGGTAGGGCTTGTGAACCGAAGAGGAACCAATTAAACGAAATCCAAATCCTTCAAAGTGAAAAACTTCAGAAAGAAAAAAGAAAAACGAAGCGCCGCTCCAGCAGCCAGCGGCTCGCTCCTTTTGAATCGTCTGAGCCGCCGCAGCCCTACACTACGTATGAGCGAGAGGAGCAAAGGTCCGTGCGGCTTCCCACTCAGTATCCGCGAGTATGTGCAGGCCGCCTGGTCGATTGCCACAGGGCAATTCATGACCGTCGGCGACTCACCGCTGGCCGATCTCAAGGAACAGACCACCAACATGTCCACCAACATCGGCTTGATGTCAGCCTTGGTGCTCACCATGATTGTCCCGCTCATGTACGATGCAGGACTTGGTCCGCAAAACAACTCGTACATGGTCACAGACCCTTTCTGGGTCGGCTCCCTGTACTTTGCACTTGCGTGTTCAGCGTCGTGGACCTTTGCAATCAGTACCGTTTTTGCTGTGCTCAAACCATGGCACTGAACGAAACTGGGAGCTCTCGGGAGGCCAACCACTTCGTCATGATCGCGTCAACGGAACTTCGCACGACCAGCGATCTGTTCACTCTCTCGTGGGTCATGCTCGTTGGCGTTGTCGTCCTCTGGGCGAGCATCGTTTGCTTTGACCTGTCTGGAAACGAAGACTGCGATGAATCTTGCAACATGCCGGGAGCTTTCGCTGCTATGATTGTCACCTGCAACGCCATCAGCGCCTATGCGTGCTTCCGTGCATGCTCTTTGATAGCAAAACTCTACAAATGCAAGGAAAACAGCCCAATAGTGTCGTGGTGGCCTCGCCCTCCGAATGCGCTTACACCAACGGCCGACTGGATTCACGACCCCACGACGCAAGAGGTCCTGGGACTCTTGAGCGAGTACCTCGCGCATGACAAGGGCAAGGTGACACCAACGGGATTCAAAGAGTATCTGATCAACAGCTCGAGCAAAGGTGCCGGGGCCTTGAGCTATCTGGCCGAGCGAACTGCAGACAGAGTGTTCGAACGCGCAATCGATCTGATGATCGATTCCGATCTCAAGCACTGCTCAAACGAGGATGCAAACGAAGATGCAAACGTGAGCCACCTGCGCGTCTGCACTGCTGAGTAGCGAGTCGAGCGAGGACGCGTATGTCACTGTGAGTGGTCTCTATACTCTAAACGCGCCGTCCGTCCCCGGCCCGCCGTCTGGCCCGGCTCACCATCACAACTACCTTAAGGCCAACGACACCCCGCCCTCCGAAAACAACAAAATGCTCAATGGTCAAGATGCTCAAAAACGAAAACAAAACGACCGATACACACACCGGGCAATGTAGATACAAGGGAGCGTGTCATCCGCGCGTATGCAGCAACATGCAACATCAACGGCGAGGTGTTACGGCGTAATACCCTTACGGTGTTAGCTAGGAGGTTAGTGAGTACAGTGTGTACTCTGTACAGAGAGGCGAAGAACCTCTAACGTGTCAGGCTACACCGGCGCGGTATGGGTGGACGCTCGACAGGAGATGGTTAAAAACTTCTTTCGTGCTTGCGTGCCGTTGCGGCACTCCGGGAGTTTATTTCTTTTTCTGCCCGTCCCCGGCAAGGCACTTTCCAAGCTCATTGATGACAAACCTCGAGCAGTGGCCGCTGTCGCGCCCGCCCATCACGTGCGACGGGCAGTCGATCTGCGGCCCGACCGTCCCATTCGGCCCCTTGGCGAAGCAGCTCGTCACCTCGGAGAGTCGGCAGTGCTTGTCAGCGCGGATGGCGACGCGGCGCCCGTACTCGCTGCGCAGCTGCGCCGCAGATACCTCGCCGCCCACGTTGCCGCTGATCAGGGCTGGCGTGCCGCGATCGCCCGGCAGAAAGCGCAGCGCGTTGAGCGCCTCGGCGAAGTACGCGTCCGGGGAGAGGCCGCTGCAGGTGCCGTGCTTGACCCACTCGTGCCTGCGCTCAGGAGGGCCCGCGTGCCGTCGGCTCGGGCGGGGGAGAGGGCGACCACGCGGCGCGCTCACTTGGCGAGGTCGCCCACCTCCGCCTTGTGCTCCGCGGCGTTCCACCGCGTAAAGGACGGCGCGACGTCGATGTACTCGCGCGGCAGCTGCGATGCCAGGAGCTTTGCCTTGTAGCTGCAACTCGTGGGTGACGGGGAGCCGTGCTTACTGCCGTCGGGACGTGGCACCGCAAATGACGGCCACAGCCCATGCAGGCTGAGGTGGCGGGCGGAGAAGGCCCACGGCACGGTGGTGCACCTGTCGGGTGCCCAACGCAGGCTCGAGACGGAGGTCGGAGGAGAAGCACGGCACGGGTGGCTGCAGTCACCTGTCGGCCTTCTTGCAGCAGAACATTGGCGACCAGGTCTGCGCGAGCAGGTAGATGTCGTAGTCGCCGGGCTCCTCGCGTGGCATACGGCCCGAGGTAGCTGGAAAACTCCCTCGAATTGCGTGCTGTCAGCCCGGGACCTCTGGGTCACGCCCAGCTTAGCTCAAAAAAAAAAAGCAGACGGAACGCGGCGAAAAATGGACCGCAACATCCTTGTCCGTACTCGCTGTCAACGACTCAACGTACTCAAGCGGGGAAAGTACACGGCAAACGCAAACAACGAAAGGTAGGCATGCACGACGTAGCGGCATGTAATTGCACAACTGTTCGGGCGCATGTATCTATCCACAAGTAGGAGCTCCCCTCAACCACCTCACTCAAGGGTGGGGCCTGACGTCAAAGGTGCGGCTTGACGTCGATCACGTCCCAGCTGGCCCCGCCGACTGCTATCTTCTCGACGTTGCCGGTGGGGGCGAGGTAGGTGAGCGGCGGGAAGAGGAACTCGCGCTCCGCCGGGAAGGCGGAGAGGAAGGAGATGTCCGGGCCGCGCGAGATGAACGAGTCGGTGACGAGGCGGAGCAGCACGGCGTTCCGGCTGGCCGAGTACTTCATCGCCACCGCAAGCGAGGAGGTGGTCGACATGGGCGCCAGCTCCGTGCCGCCCTGCGCGAGGAACTCGAGCGGCGCACGCACGTCCTTCATGCCGCGGTAGAGGTGCAGCTCGCGCGGCGAGATGCGCGGCGAGGCGAAGGCGCCCTCGTCGTCGCCGCCGCCCGTCGAGCCTTGGTTGGCTTCGACCGCTCTGAGCTTGCCCAGCGCGTCGCGGAGCAGCGCCACCGTGACGGGAAGCTTGTGCGGCAGCTTGTTCTCGTAGCGGTCGCGGTCGCGGAGCGGGTCGTTGATCGAGCGGAAGGCCGCCGAGGTGTAGAGGCGCAGAGCAACCACGTGGGCCTTGGTCAGCAGCGACTGCCGCGCGCTCGGGTGCGCCACAAAGTCGTCGATCGTCATGCCGCGCTGGCCGCCCTTGCCATCCGGCACCAGGCGGCAGGCCAGCACCTCGCCCTCCTCGTCGCAGTCGCGCCTCAGCCCCCCCTGGAACCCGCGGTCGCTCGAGCCCGCCTCCGCGTCCAGCACGTATTGCAGGCACTCGAGGTCGCAAGCGTTGGCCGAGGCCGTCACTTCATCGACGATGGCGCTGACGCCGCAGGCGATGCGCGCCCCAAGGGTGCTCTCGTCGACGCACATGTAGTGGCAGATGCCGAGCGCCGCTTCGGCGGGGCGGCCAAAGACCAGGTCGCGGACGCCGACGTTGGCGAAGCGGTTGAAGGCGTCCTCCGATGCGGTGCCGTCGGTAAGGTCCACGCACACCACGTCGCTCGCCCGGTCCGCCCACAGAAGGCGGGACTCGGCGCGCATGCGTCTCGCGAGCTCGCTGACCGTGGGCTCCAGCACGCATATCTGTGCTAAGTCGGCCGAGGTGAGAGCGCTGAGCCGGTCCTCTCTCTTGCCGATGCCCTGGTGCCGTCCAAGCCGCTTCAGCCGTTTCAGCAAGCCGGCTCCGGCGACCGCACCAAAGATGCAAATGGAGCCCAAACCAGCAGCGATTGACCAGACGACGCCCGAGTACGCCGGAGTCGGGGCGATGCCTTGCCTGCAGGCACCCCGATCGACTCCGCAGCACGGGTCCGACGCCGGGTCGCAGACGGACACGCTGATCGCCGGCGGGCCGGATGCGAGGCCGGGCGCCCCGAGAAAGTCGGAGGCGGCTTCTGCGGAGCCCGTCTGCTCCTCGATCTTTTGGACCACCTCCTCGCCAATCAGCCCCGTGGGTGCAGATATGATGAAGACGAAACGAAGGCTCGCGGCCGTGAGGCGCCTCCGACCAAGGACTGCGGCTGCCCGGCTGTCAGTGCTGCATGCTGGCACGGGTGGGGGTGGCGCTTCATACGCTTCCGGAAAGACGAGGTCTGCGCTACAAGAGCCAGCAGCAAGGCTGTTCTCAACCTCGATCCTGCGGCAAGTCTGTGCTCCCACCTCGGCCAGGCCTGCGATGAAGGTCACTCGCTCCTCCTCGCACCGCTCGTAAAAGTCGTCGAGGGTCTCGGTGAGCGGGAAGGAGATGTTGACCGTTGCCGGAAGGGACACAGGGAGATTCGGCGGCGGCGGCGAGGGCGGCGGCGAGGGAGGTGGCGGTGGTGACGGAGGACTCGGTGGCTCGGGTGGCGGGGGGGAGGGAGGGCGTGTGGTGAAGGTTGAGATGCGCACGTCCGTCACTCCGAGCCCCTCGAATGTGCTTTGCGCCTCCGCCACGGACGCCGGCAGCGCGTTCACCACGTCCTCGACCTCGAGTGCGGTCGGCGTCGTAGTGGTGAAGACGAGGCGCACTTGGTCGGTTTCCCCCTCCTGTAGCCGCCTGCCTCCTCCAGACTCTGGCAAATTCTCAATGCGATAGCGGCAGCTGCCAGCGGCGAGGTTTGCCTGCGCCTCAATCCGAAGGCAGTCGGAGCGGCCTGCCTCGTCGACCCTCTGAATGAAGTCCGTCCGATCAAATGGCTCCATGGCGGCGAGGTCCTGGGTGGTGACGTCGAGCGGCATCTCGAGTAGCACCGTCGCGGGTAGGTTAGCCGGTAAGCTCGGTGGCGCCGGCAGCGGCGGTGGTGGGAGTGGTGGCGGCGAGGGCGGTGGCGGAGGCGTCGAGGGCAGTGGCGGTGAGGGTTGCGGCGGCAGGGTCGGTGGGGGCGACGGCTGCGGCGGTGATGGCGGCGGCGGCGGCGGCGATGCGGAGGGCGGCGGTGGGGTAGGCGGCGGAGGTGAGGGCGGCGGCGGCGTGGGCGGCGGAGAGGTAGGTGGCGGTGGCGCGGGAGGCGGCGGCGAGGGTGAGGTGGAGGGCGGCGGAGGTGAGGGCGGTGGAGGGGCAGGTGGCGGCGGCATGGGTGGCGGTGTGCAGCAGCTCAGACTGTACCCGAATGCTGGGTAGTCTGATAGTGGCAGCTGTGCGACACATTCCCCAGTTCCTCCGCCATGCTGTGGTTGGGGCGAGAGGCATTTGGCTGGAATATTCGCATACTCACAGTTGTCATCGGGTGCGTCAGCGCAGTAGGTCCAAGAGCAGCAGTCGTCGAGGCAGCCGTTGCTGGCTGCAGCAGCGCAGTCGCTTGATATGCTCGATGGCAGGCTCGGTGGCGGAGAGGGCGGCGGCGGCGGTGATGGCGAGGCGGACGGCGGCGGCGGCGACGGCGAGGCGGAGGGAGGCGCGGCGGGGGGCAAGCACGCGCTCTTCTTCCAACACTCCTGCGTTCCGCCGTTCAAAGCGCAAGCAGACGACCAGCTGCCTGTCAAGGTATGCCCTCCCGTCTCGCATGCCTCGTCGCTCTCCTGAAGCTGGCATGGATATGCTGTGTTCGCCTGGTCGTAAAAGGCCTTGAAGCATTGCTGGTCGGACTTGCACGCTTCGAAACACTCCGCCTCGGTTGTGCCCGCGAACAGAACGCTGTAACTGAGGAGGCAACGCAGCGCGTGATCGTCGTCGTATAGGCAAAGTGACGGCGGCGGCAGCGGCGGCGACGGCGGCAACGGCGATGCGGAGGGAGGTGGCGGCGACGGCGACGTCATGGCGAGCCGAAGCTGCAAGGTATATCGCGTGCGAATTGGGAGCGAGTTGCAATCGAAGGAGGCGTTGTTCATGAACGCTATTTCGCCTCCTTGGGCCACGCGCTCAGTGCGATTCCCTTGCTTGGCGGCACGTCCAGCACAACCATCCCATAAGAATTTGCCAACGACAAACCCAAACAACAAACACAACACATAATAGTCGTGCGGAACGTTCCCGAGCGAGACAGAGGAGAAAGAAACGACAGCCGGCACATCATTTGGGATCTTGGGCTGGGTTTTGGTTGTTCTCGGCAAAATATTAGAAAAAGAAATCTGACCCCGCGCGGCCGAGGCCTGGAATCGCACGAGCGCGAGTACGGCCTGGCGCCCGAGCCCGGCAGGCGGTCGCTCGCAGTTCGTGCAGGCCGGTTAGGCCGCGCCGAGGCTCCCCGAAGCCAGACATGCTCGGCAGCAGCGGCCACAGCGGCAGCGCTTGCAGCAACACGCGCCGCTCGGAGGTGGAAGCAACTCGCTCGTTGATCGCCGACCTGTCCTGGAACAATCTGTCCTGGCAACAAGCAAAGACGGTGCTCCTCGGCGCGCAGAAGGCACCGGACAGCCGCTTCTTCGAGCTGCCGCAGGTACTAGTGCCGAAGATTTTGAAAATGGCGCACCGGCCGCAGTGGCAGCCGAGGTTCACTGGTCTGCGCGCTGTGCCGCGAAGGATGGGCCTGATCAGCGCCCGAGGCACCAGGCTCTCCTTCCGGGCGAACCCGAGCCTGGTGGAGAGCGACGACCCGCGCTCGACGCCCTCGGTCGAGCTCGACGGCGAGGGCGTGCAGGCGTGCGTCCTCCGGCTGAGCGAAGTCGGGATCGGCAGCGTCGTCCGCCTGTTTCGCGTCTCTGACGGCGGCGAGCAGCTCGCCGTCTGCTTCTCGGTTGACCCTCGCTGGGACACCAGCCCCGAGCGGGAGTTCTCCCAGGAGGAGGTGCACGTCCTGTTTGACGCGCCCCGGTCGCGCGCCACCTCGGAGTGGGCCACGCTGCTGCCGCAGCACGAAGGGCGGGCCGTGCCCGCAGGCCGCGTCGAAAAGTACCTCGCGCACGTGGCCGGCTGGTCTGGCTGGTCGTCCGGTCGATGCAGCGGGGCTGGCCCGGATGGGCGCGCGCAGGACGTCGAGCTCCACTTTCTGTTTGATTTTGAGCGGCGGACAGTGCGGCTCGGCCTGTGCGCAGAATGGGCGGTGGACGGCATGTCGGATTGGGGCGTGACGGGCTGGCGCTTCTTTGGCCGCGCCTTCCCGCTGGGCGAGGGGCGGCTGCGGCTCGGCATCGCGGGCTTCTACGGCGACGCGGGAAGGGTCGCGCAGCCGCGACGGCGGTGTCCAACTCCCGGAGCCTTCCGTGTACCTTCTAGGAAGCTTCCGAGTAGGTGGTGCAGCCTGACGGCGGGGTGGAGATCAAGCGGGTGAGCGCGACGGTGTCTGCCCCGCACCCGAGCGGCGAGTTCTACACCGCGTTCGCCGAGAACTTGTGCGAGGAGGAGGGGGTGGCGCCCCAGGTGGTGGCGGAGCTCCGCCGGGCGTTTGACACGGCGGTTGTGTCGGGCACGCCGTGGAGCTGGGTGGAAGCGGTGGTACCGCTTCTCGGAGCCCTCTGATCTCGGAACTTTCCCTAGGCATAATCGAGCCGGAGCGGTGGAGCCCGTGCGAGGAGGAGCCCAGCGAGCGAGGAGGCTGGACTATGCCCAGCAATGGCGAGCGCGGCCGCGCCCTGATCTGCGCCAACCGGAATGCAGAGGCGTGCGCTCTCCGTCTCCGGCCGAGTGCCCTCCGTGTGCCGTTAGGAGCCTTCTAGGAGCCTTCCTGTCTGCAGGCGTGCAACCCGGCCGAGTGCGTGTCGTGCCAGTTCGCAAACAGCAACGGTTGGCAGGACTTTTGCTTCTCGACGGGGTGCGACGGCGGGGGTTGGGGACAGTCCGCTAGCACGAGCACTTGGAACTGCGACGTCCGCCGCTCAGGCTGCCGCAAGCCGGCGCCCCACTCCGACCCGTGGCGCGCAGACCAGCCGCTCGAGTGGTGGTGCTGCGCCGGAGACGGCGAGGAGGAGGGGTGCGGCTTCGCGGTGTGCGGTCCCTGCCATGCCGCGGCGCCCGACGCGCACGCGCAGACGGGTTGCACGATGCCGCTGCTGCAGCGGTGGTGGTAGGAGAGACTGAGAGTCGATTTGAACGTGCGTGGGTGTTGGGGGAGGCGAACTGACTTGAGAGTACTCCCCCCCGCGCGGCGTGTGGCCGTGTCCCGTGCGCCGTGTGAGTGGGCGTCGACCGTCGAGCGCTAAGCGTCGAGCGTCGTGTGCGCGTGTGGGGTGTGCCGTGTGCGCGGCCCGCGCGGGCGGTGTAAAGGCTGCCTCACTTGACCTTCGACGGTTGTCAACGGGGGACGCGGGGCCTTGCTTGAGTACTTGAGAGGTTGCGGTGAGGCTTGAGCCTGGCACTTGAGAGCGCCTTGAGCGTGGCAGGGTTCGTGAGTGAAATTTCACCCTTTCACTTTCACATGTGAATTCATGTGAATTTCACATGAAACGTTTCGGCCGCCCCCGTTTCACTGAAAATTTCACAAGTTTGCATCCAAACGCGGTGAAAGCGACGAAGTATAGAAAGGAGAGAGCCCAACCGAGTAACTAGTGAGAGGAGGTGCGAGAGCAGCTTGGTTCGTGAGGTGTGTCCTGCTCGGGGCTCAGGCGCTCGAGGACGTGTGTGTAGCCTCAATGTTCTTTTAATGCGCGCCCCCGCCGAAATACACCAACACGCGACGCGACCTCTTAAGGAGCACCGTGTCGTTAGGGTTAGGGTTAGGGTTAGGGTTAGGGTTAGGGTTAGGGTTAGGGTTAGGGTCAGAGAGTCCAAGCCGTTGTGTGCAGCTTTTAACAGCAAATGGTCCGGTTTGGGCCGAAACCAAATGGAGAAATCAGCGGTCCGTCGACCCGAGCTCTCGGTGAACGCTTTGGGTTCTTCGGGCTAGGGTTAGGGTTAGGGTTAGGGTTAGGGGTTAGGGTAAGGGTTAGGGTTAGGGTACGTTGGTTGTCGTCGCACGCTCTCGATATCTGGCTAAGACGAGACACAGCATCAGAGGCGACCCAAGCGACACACCAGAGCACGGCCGGGGACGCGAGCCGCCATCTTGGACTGTGAGGCGAGTATTTGCCACCGGGAGCTCGCCGCCGCCCCTACACCGCCGCCGCCGCACTCCCGAGGCCAGATAATAGCCCAAGTCGAAGAGTGCGCCCCGCCCTCGGTATCTGGGTGGCAGGCGGGACTAGAGAGGCACGCCAGAGCACGGCCGGGGACGCGAGCCGCCATCTTGGACTGTGAGGCGAGTATTTGCCACCGGGAGCTCGCCGCCGCCCCTACACCGCCGCCGCCGCCCTCCCGAGGCCAGATAATAGCCCAAGTCGAAGAGTGCGCCCCGCCCTCGGTATCTGGGTGGCAGGCGGGACTAGAGAGGCACGCCAGAGCACGGCCGGGGACGCGAGCCGCCATCTTGGACTGTGAGGCGAGTATTTGCCACCGGGAGCTCGCCGCCGCCCCTACACCGCCGCCGCCGCGCTCCCGAGGCCAGATAATAGCCCAAGTCGAAGAGTGCGCCCCGCCCTCGGTATCTGGGTGGCAGGCGGGACTAGAGAGGCACGCCAGAGCACGGCCGGGGACGCGAGCCGCCATCTTGGACTGTGAGGCGAGTATTTGCCACCGGGAGCTCGCCGCCGCCCCTACACCGCCGCCGCCGGCGCCGCACTCCCGAGGCCAGATAATAGCCCAGTCGAAGAGTGCGCGCCGCCCTCGGTATCTGGGTGGCATACGGGACTAGAGAGGCACGCCAGAGCACGGCCGGGGGCGCGAGCCGCCATCTTGGACTGTGAGGCGAGTATTTGCCACCGGGAGCTCGCCGCCGCCCCTACACCGCCGCCGCCGCCCTCCCGAGGCCAGATAATAGCCCAAGTCGAAGAGTGCGCCCCGCCCTCGGTATCTGGGTGGCAGGCGGGACTAGAGAGGCACGCCAGAGCACGGCCGGGGGCGCGAGCCGCCATCTTGGACTGTGAGGCGAGTATTTGCCACCGGGAGCTCGCCGCCGCCCCTACACCGCCGCCGCCGCCCTCCCGAGGCCAGATAATAGCCCAAGTCGAAGAGTGCGCGCCGCCCTCGGTATCTGGGTGGCAGGCGGGACTAGAGAGGCACACCAGAGCACAGCCGGGGGCGCGAGCCGCCATCTTGGACTGTGAGGCGAGTATTTGCCACCGGGAGCTCGCCGCCGCCCCTACACCGCCGCCGCCGCCCTCCCGAGGCCAGATAATAGCCCAAGTCGAAGAGTGCGCCCCGCCCTCGGTATCTGGGTGGCAGGCGGGACTAGAGAGGCACGCCAGAGCACGGCCGGGGGCGCGAGCCGCCATCTTGGACTGTGAGGCGAGTATTTGCCACCGGGAGCTCGCCGCCGCCCCTACACCGCCGCCGCCGCCCTCCCGAGGCCAGATAATAGCCCAAGTCGAAGAGTGCGCCGCTCGGAAAAGTGAAATTTCGTTTCACATGAAATGTGAAGTGAAAGTGAAAGTGAAATCGATTCGCTGTTTCCATGTGAAATCACGAACCCTGGAGCGTGGCCCGTGGCGCGTTCTCGGTGTCTTGTGAGTCTTGTTTTATCCGCCTCTCTAAGTAAGGGGGCGAGCGGCGGGCGAGATAAAAAAAGGAGATCGTAACAAAACAGAAGAAAACACCTGAAATGCTCTAAACACCACCTTCTCGACGTCTCTCCCCGGCAGCGGCACGCGGCAGCACACGGAAGCCAAGGACGGCGAGAAGAGCGGCCGCACCCCCAGCGAGGCGCTCAAAAGGGGACCCGTCGCGGCGGCCCTCAGAGGAACAGGTCCAGCTCGGTACGGCCATACCGGTTGAGGACGTCGTCGGCGATGCGCGGGTACGCAGCCACCATTGCCGGCTGCGACCCGATGTAGAGGTTGTTGTAGATCTTCCAGTAGACCTCGCGAACCTTTCGCGCCGGGTGGAAGAGCCCCTGCAACGTGTAGAGGAGCACGGCCGTCGGGCCGAGGCAGCAGCGCATGCCCTCGATGGCCTCCATGACGGCGTTGATGACGTGGGGCGACGTCTCGAAGATGTTTGGCCAGAGCAGGTTGAGGCAGTGCTGCATCGCGTCCTCGAGCCCGAGCCCGACCGAGCCGAGCGCCATGTGCTTGACCGTGGTGCACGCCGTCTGCCGGTGGACCAGGTCCCGGTCGATGAGCGCGTCCTGGCGAGTCCGAGGCGGCGGGAGGGCGCCGTGAGAGCGGGGCGAGCCCTCGGTGTCGGCGGGCCGTCTGTCTCGGCGGTGCCCTCGCAGCGTGGCTCAGAGGTGGGTCAGAGGTGGCTCGAGAGGCGGCTCTAAGGGGCGAGGCGTCTCTCAGGGGGCACCGCCCGCGCCTCGAGGAGCGGCACGACGGCGTACACGTAGTCGCGCCCCATCTCGCCAATGTACTCGAAGAGGAAGGAGAGGGACTTGAGCACGCCGTTCTGCACGTTGAGCTCTGGGATGCGGTACTCGTTGAGCAGCCCGGGCAGCACCTACGAGCGGGCGCCCAGAGGGTACCAGCAGGGCCCCCACGAGGGCACCCGTCGAGCACCCCGGCCGGCACCGTGAACGGCGAGCACGTCTCGGCGACGATGGCGATCGCGACAGTCGTGCAGACGCGGTTCTGCCGCTCCTGCACCTTGAGGTTGTTGAGCAGCGTCGCGAGCACGTCCTGCGGCCCGATGGCCTTTGCGATGTAGCCAAAGGTGTTGACCGTCGCGCGGCGGATCGCCTTTTTGTGCGCGCGCAGCATGTCGAGCAGCTCAAAGCAGATGCGCATCCACTCGCGCGCGGAGACGTACTCGGCGCCGCGGTCGGCGATGCGGCCGACGAGGTCGATGCAGTTCTCCTGCACCACCTCGTGCCGGTTCTTGAGGATGGGCGTGAGGCGCGGCAGCAGGTCCTTGATCGGCGGCGTCATCTTGGTCATGCCAATCACGTTGACGATCGCCTTGAGCGCGCCGAGGATGGAGCCGAGCACCTCGGGGTACTCCTCGCCGAGGTACTCGTACAGCACCACGCCCAGGTGGCCCATCAGCTGCTCCTCGTTGCACGCGCGCATCACGACCGCGACGCGCGAGATGAGGTCCGCCGCCTGCTGCCGCACCTTCGCGCTCTTGTTGTTCAGCCGCCACTTGATGGTGCCGCAGATCTGCGGCAGGTACGGCTTGGTGCGCGACCCGAGCGCGGAGACGATGGTGCCGAAGCCGTTGAGCATCACCGCGGTGTCCTCGTTGGTCTGCTCCTGGAAGGCGTACAGGATGCCGTCGACGAGCTGCTCCTCGAGCCGCTGGTCAATGTCGGCCGCGGAGAGGGACGAGATGACCTTCTCGACGGTCTCCATCACCATCTTGCGGTACGGCTCCGACTCGTCCTTGAGGTCCTCGACGATGCGCGTGACAATCTCGGAGGCGCCGACCTTCTTGGCGAGCTCCTCGGTCGTCTCGACCAGCGCGCGGTAGTTGCGCCGGTCGAGCGCCATCCGCCGCACCCAAAAGTTCTTGAAGAACTCCGGCAGGATCTCGGCGCGCACGTACGCCGGCTGCACGCCCTCCGTCGCGACGCACTGCTTGACCACCTTGAGGACGATCTTCTTCATCTCCTCGTCGGGCGAGGCGAACTCGCGCAGCAGGATGATCATCACCTCGCGCGTGTAGTAGTTGGCGTACTCGGCGTCCATGAGCGGGATGATGAAGCCGATCGCCTTGAGGAAGGCGGCGAGCCCCTTGCCGCGGTGCTGCCGGATGCCCTTCCAGAGCGGCTTGAGGACCGAGTCGAAAGCCTCGATGCCGTAGGGCGTGGCCGCCTCGGCGAGCGCGGCGAGCGAGAGCGCCGTGATCGTCCGCACCTTTTGCTGCTCGTCGTTGAGCCCCGCCTCGATGATCTCCACCAGCGCGCGCAGGTGCGGCAGCACGGAGCACCCCATCAGGATGGCGATCTGCTGCACGATCTTGATGCCGGTGTGGCGCGCCTGCCAGCTCTTCTTCGAGTTGCAGACCGCCTTGAGGAAGGGGAGCAGCGCGGGCACGCCGAGCGCCGACGCGACCACCGAGAAGGCGCGCGCCTAGTCCCGGGCAACCTCAGGTGAGCTCGGGGGAGCCCGGGTGGAGCGAGGCCGCGGGGGAGGCGCTGCGCCGTCGTGTTGCGCACGTACTCGTCGACGTTGTCGATGTCGGGCCGCATGGTCGCAATCATCGTCGCGAGCCCGGCGGCCTTTGCGAGGTTGGCGATGATCTCGCGCCCCTCGACGCGCGCGTAGTAGTCCTCGTCGATGAGCAGCGGCTCAATCACGACGAGGATCTTGTGCACAAAGGGGCGCACCAGGTCGTCGAGCTTGTACAGAATGCGGTCGATCACCTGCGCGGCGAACCACGGCGACGGCGGTGAGAGAACGGCGGACGCGACACGGGGCGGGGGGGCGGGGAAAGCGGGGAGGGGGCGGCACCTTGACCAGCAGGTGGCGCTCCTGGTCCTCGAGCGTCGGCGACATGAGCAGCGGCAGGATCTGGTTGAAGAGGGGCCCCGCGCCAAACTCGCGCGCCTTGTCGGTGAGCTGGCGCAGCGCCTGCTTCCGCATCGGCGGCGTGCCGTTCTTGACCTTGAGCAGCAGCTTCATGATCTTCCGCTCGCGCGCCTCCTCGACCTGGGGAGCGTGAACGCGGGTGACCAAAGGTGGGAGGACGGTTTCGTGCACCGCATCAGGTGGCGGGCTACGAATACCGTGGCTGCGGCGAGAGCAGCGCGGTACAGTGATCGTGGGTGCAGTGGAGCACGCGTCTTCTCTCGAGGGCTCGCTTGCAGGTTTCGCATCTACCGCTGCCACCGTCATGTCCTCGATCTCCTCGTCCTCCTTGAGCAGCGGCGCAAAGTACTGGTAGTCCTCCGGCTTGACAAACGGCAGGCTCGCCGGCGTGGCGGGCATGTCCATCGGCCCGCCCGCGCCTATCAAAAGAAGGGTGCGACTCGAGAACCAGAAAGCTGCGGCCGCGCCGTCGGCCCGGCGCCGCGCCGTGCTGCTCCGACGGGATCTGGTAGAGCGGCGTCGCGCCCTCGGCAGGGGTCGGCGTGGCGAGGAGCTTGCGCGCCGGCGTGCGGATGGGCACGTAAGAGTCGGGCGGCTTGAGCACCTTGTACCCGCTCGGAGGGAAAAGCGCGTCGAGGTCGTCGTCCGTCAGCGGCCGGTTCCGCTCCTCCATCTCGCGCTCCCACCGGCTCACCTGGATCTGCTCGGGCGTCTGCGCGACGTCGTTGTTGAGCGAGCCGGAGCCGAGAGGGCCGAGGCCCATCCCGCCCACCGCCGGCGTCTGCGCGTCGATCGGCCCCACCGGCGTGGCGCCGATGTTGGCGTGCCCGTGCAGCGGCGTCGCGCTCGGGCCGCCTCCAGAGACGTTGACGGGCGTCTCGTCCCAGCGCGACTTTTGCACGGGCGTTGCGCCGAGCGCGCCGCCCCCCCCCGCGAGCGCGCCGGGCGCGGGCGTGCCTAGGGATATGAATGCAGCGGGCTGAGGGGCGTGAGCAGGAGTACCAGAGGCGATGCGACGCAGCGGCAAGGACGGCGTCACGAGAGCGAGTCGAGATCAAGCGGATGTGTCTTTCGCATCTGGGCAAAGCGCACTGTCCCATGCGCTGGTGGCGCCCGCGCGGCCGGGAGTCGGTGTCTCGTCCCAGCGGTTGCCGCGCGACGGCGTCGCGTTGACGTCCCCCACGCGCCCCGGGGTTGGCGTGCTATCCCAGCGGCTGCCGCCGTCCGCACCGCGCCCCGGGGTTGGCGTGCTGTCCCAGCGGCTGCCGCCGTCCGCGCCGCGGCCGGGCGTGGGGGTCGCGTCCCACTTGCTGCCTACGGTGTGAAGACACGGTGTGAAGACCCGGAGCTGACGATGTGGACCCGGGAGCGCGCAGCGCATTCGCGCAGTGCATTCGCACGACACAGGGCGGGCTGCCGCTCTAAGAGACGCTGAGCCCGAGGCGGAGAAGGCGAGGGGGAGGACACGGGTGTGCGGTCCGCATCTAGGAGGTGATGCCCGCGCCCGCAGCTGCGCCGCGGCCGGGGGTGGGGGTGGCGTCCCACTTGCTGCCCGCCCCCGCCTCCGCACCCCGGCCGGGCGTCGGCGCGGCGTCCCAACGGGACGGGGTGGCGCTCCCGGTGACGCGCCTGCAGCGGGGAGAGGGGGGGGGGGGCGGGGTGGGGGGGGGTGGGGGGGGGGGGCCAAAGGTAAAGGCCGAAGGGGGGGAAAGGCCGGGTCCTGAAGGGGGCTCAGAGCACCGCGCGGGCACGAGGGCTGCGGATACAGCGCCGAGGGCGCGAGTGCGCTCGCAAGACCGCCAAGCCCGTGCCCTCCCCAGCGGGGCGGCGTGTGCTCTGCATCCACGGCTCTGCATCTAGGGTCTGCATCTAGGGTCTGCATCTAGGGCGCCACGCGCCCCGGCGTCGGCGTCGCGTCCCACTTGCTCGAGTCAGGCACCCGGCCGGGGGTGGGGGTGGCGTCCCACTTGCTGCTCGCGCGCGGCACGGCCGGGGGTCGGCGTGGAGTCCCACTTGCTCGCGTCCGCCACACGCCCCGGCGTCGGCGTCGCGTCCCACTTGCTCGAGTCGACGGCGCGCCTGCGCAGCAGGGAGGGGAGGGGGGGGGGGGGAGGGGGGGGGAAAGGCGGGGTCGTGGAGTGGACTCGGAGCACCGCGCGGGCACGAGGGCTGCGGATACAGCGCCGAGGGTGCAAGCGCGATTGAAGCCGCCGAACCCGTGCCCTCCCCAGCGCTAGTTGGGGTGCGCGTTCCGCATTTAAGTGCCACGCGCCCCGGCGTCGGCGTCGCGTCCCACTTGCTGCCGCCGCCCCCCCCGCCAGCGTCGCGCCCGGGGGTGGGAGTCGAGTCCCACTTGGACCCGACTGGCGCGGGGGTCGCCACGTCGTCCCAGCGGGTCGCCTGCTTCTTGCCCGCCGCCGCGCTCGCCCCCGCATCCCCCGCCGCCGGCGCATCCCAGCGGCGCCGCTTCTTGACGCCCGTGGCGCCCTCCTCCGACTGCTCGGCGAGCTTGCGCCGGATCTCGTCCTTCTGGCGCGCAATGTCGGCCTCCGCCATTACGTCGCGGTACGACCGCTCCGACGACCCGCCGGCCCCCTTGGCGAACGGGTCCGCGCGCGACGGGGAGAGCACCCGCTGCCTGCGCGCGTGGTACTCGTCCTCGCGGTCGGCGATGCGGTTGGAGCGCTGGCTCATGGGGTCGTCGTCCTCGGGCTGCTGCGGCACCGCCTCGAGCAGGTGCTTTGGCGCCGTGAACGACGACCGCTTCGCGGCCGGCTCCGCGCCATCCTCCTGCGCCTCGCCGGGCGCAATCGACGTGTCCATGCCCGCATACCGGTCGGTGTTGTAGACATCGTCGTCGGCGATCGCGGTGAGCGAGGTGCCGCGCGCCTGCTGCGCCTGCCGTATCTCCTCGTCCACGTCCGAGGGCATGCCCGCGACTACGGCCGCCTGCAAGATGACGCGGGGCGCCGTGAGAGCGGGGAGGGCGCACCCCAACCACACGCCCGAGCCGCGGCCGCCCTCTCGGCACTGGCGCGCGGCCGCATCCTGCAGGCGGGCAAGCGGCCCCTGCGCTGCCCCCCCCCTCCCCAGGCAGGGGCCCCGGCTCACCACACGAGAGAGGGGTAGGGCGCCGCGCGCTACACTGGGGATCGCCTCCAGGCAGGCTGGAAGAAAAGCTCGTCCAGGAAAAAGCCCCACGGCAAGACTCTTTCACATGACAAGCAATCCCACGACAGCGATTGTGGGGACCCCGTACGTGAGGGGTGGAGGGGGCCCGTCCGCAGAGCTAGGCGGACGACTCGGCAACCGCGAGCCGCTCACTCGCTCACTCCCCTAGTCACTCCCCCAGGCCCGTTCCCGCATCTTCCCCGCCTCCTCCACCGGGCGGATCCGCTCCGCGCCGCCTCTCCCACCACCGTTCTTATAAACGGGCTGGCGCTGGCTGAGGCAGCCTCAGCCCGTATGCGCAGCCTGCTGCTGCTGCTCTCGCTCGCCGGCTCCATCGGGCTGGCGGCTCGCGGCGCAGGCCGTGCTCCTGGCGGCGGCTCCCGCAGGGTGAGCAGCACAGCTTCCTCTCGCAGATACACAGTCGGTCGTGGCAACGGAGGGAACTCTCAGGGCTCCGTTCGTAGCAATGCAGCCAACTCTCAGGGCTCCGTTCGTGGCGGTGCATCCTCCGGAGGCGGCAACAGCGGCAGCGCAGCCTCCACAGGCGGTCGTGGCAGCCACGGCCGCGTCGCTGGCAAGGGCGCCTCGTCGCTCTCGGCCGCCGACAACAAGGCGCGCAAGGCCAGCGAGCGGCGGCTGCAGCTCGAGAAGATGGAGACGAAGCTCGCGGCGGAGGCCTCCTTCTTCTGGCAGTGCGTCGCAACAGCGACGAGCGGCGGCGATGTCAGCGGCGCCTCTGGCCTCGCGCCGGCCGCGCGCGACGCGGAGGCGCTCTTTCCACCCGAAGCGGTGGCCAGCCCCGACGCGATCGACTTTTCGCGGTACGATGCGATCCCGGTCAGCCGGCACGGCGCCGGCGAGGCCGTGCCGCCGCTCGCGGACTTTGCAGACCTGCGGACCGAGCTGCCCTCGTTTGCGGCGGCCAACCTGCTGTCCGACGACCGGCTCGGGTACCGCGCGCCGACGCCGATCCAAAAGCACACGGTGCGAGCCCGGCGTCCCTCTCGGCTGGCCAGTGGGGACGGGCCTGGGGAGGAGCGCGGGACCGCGGCTGCATTGCAACAGGTGCCGCTCGCGCTGGCCGGCCACGACGTGCTCGCGTGCGCGCAGACAGGTCGGGGGAGCTGGTCCTCTTGACTGCCCCTGCGAGCGGCGTCTCTTCATGCAGCCAGCTGTGAGCAGGGTCCGGCAAGACCGCCGCCTTCCTGCTGCCGCTCATCGCACGCGTCGCTGACGCGGCGCCGGCGCAAGAGCCGTCAACACTCGGACCAGTTTGGACGGTCTCGGATCAACTCGGGTGAGTTCGGCGTAGGAGCCGCTCGTCGAGGCAGCGCTCGCGCTGCAGGCGGAGGGAGGCCAGGCTGGGGGAGGCGCGGAGGCGCGGAGCAACGCACAGGGTGGGCCGCAAGGGCGCGGCGGCTTCCGGCTGTCGAGGGCGGCAGAGGGGCGGTTGCGCGCGCGCGGCACGCCCGCCCGCCCGTCGGCTCTCGTGCTCGCCCCGACGCGCGAGCTCGCCCTGCAGATCGAGCGCGAGTGTGCCAAGCTGACCTTCGAGGCGCCACCGCCGCCGTCGGGCGCGCGGCATTGGTGTGCGTGCGCGTACGGCGGCGCGACCCCCGTGTGTGCCGCTGGACGCTCCGCCGCCGCCGGTACGAGAGCATCTCGCGGGCCCTCTCTAGGCGCAAACGCGCGCCCGCAGCTCGAGGTTCTCGCGGCGGGCGCCGAGATTCTGGTGGCGACCCCGGGGCGGCTCGCCGACTTTGTGGGCCGCGAACTCGTGTCGCTGGCGGCGGTCCAGGTTTTGGTCCTCGATGAGGTGAGAGCCAGCTTGGGAAGGAGCCGCCCGTCCTGGCGAGTAGAGGCAGGTGAAGCGCTCTCCCGAGGTCTCGTGGACCGGAGAGTTGAGCGGTGTCCCTTTCCACAGGACCTAAGCCGAGATTGTAGCCGAGGTTGTAGCCGAGATTGTAGCCGAGGTTGTAGCCGCGCGCAGCGCCCCTTGACGGCAGACCTCTGTGACGAGGCGGACCGGATGCTCGACATGGGCTTCGAGCCGCAGATCCGGCGCTGCCCGCCGAGGGGCCCGCCTGCTCGCCGTCTCTGAGGCGCAGCCTTCCTGTGACAGGCGCCTCGTCGAGCAGAGCGGGCTTCCGCCAAAGGAGCGGCGGGCGACGCTGCTCTTCTCCGCCACTTTCTCGGCGCCGATGCGGCGCGTGGCGGAGGCGCGCGCTTGCGGCAGCTGGCCGCGACACGTCCTCGACTCGTCCGCGACACGTCCGCGACGTGCCGAAGGCGTACTTGCGCGCGCCGCACGCGCGGGTCGAGGTTGGGCGCGTCGGCTCGTCCACGTCCGCCATCGAGCAGAGCCTCGTCCTCGCGTGCGACGGCGATACAGACAGACAGACAGCCGCCCGCCCGCACACTCCACCAAACGTGGTGCTGCTCGACCCAGGCTCACGCCGCTCGAAGCTCGAGCTGCTGCTGCCGCTCGTGCGAAAGGACGAGCGCTCCATCGTCTTTTGCGGCAAGAAGCACGTCTGCGCGGCCGTCCGCAAGCGGCTCGGCGCGGCGGGCGTGAGTGCGGTCGAGATCCACGGAGACCGCTCCCAGTCCCAGCGCGAATCGGCTCTCGCAGACTTCCGCGCCGGCGAGGCGGATGTACTTGTCGCCACAGACGTCGCTGCGCGCGGCCTCGACGTGCCAGACGTCGCGCACGTGATCCAGTTTGACTTGCCGAATGGACGCGACGAGTTCGACGCCTATGTCCACCGCATCGGCCGCACGGGCCGCGCCGGCAAGACGGGCAGGGCGACGTCTCTCTTCGTGCCCGGCGACGAGCCAAAGGTTGGCAACGGCGCGCTGTGGCTCGACCTCCACCGCACCTTTGGCGAGTGTGCTCAGCCTTTGCCTGCCTGGTTTGACGGTGTCCGACCGCCGAATGCGCGGCTTCCCGGCGGCGCGGCGGCCCCTGGTCGCTCGTCGTACGCCCGCAAGCGCCGGGCGAGGGCCGCGAGCCCAAGGACCGACTAGACTCGTGTTCGGAGTATCCCGTGTGTGGCGTGAATTACCCGACGCCACGCGCACTTGGAGCACTGGGAGTGCGGTCATTAGCCTCACCACGCCCCGATTCGTCTCATTTGCATTTGCATGACGATCGGCCGTCGATCCCCCGAGCCGGCTCGCCGAGCGCCGAGGTACGAGGGTCCTCGGCTGAGCTAGGCCTCGAAGGGCCTAACGCTAAGCGCACTGGTTGGGTAGTAGTCTAAGTTCTGAGCCTCGAGGCTGAGCGGGTCTAAGTGTGACTAGTCACGCTGGGGTGCTTACGCGGTCTAAGATCAGCGAGAGCCTCTTACATCGGCTAAGTCGGCCGTGGCACAGCCTGGGGCCAAGAGGCTCCCACCGTGATCAACGATACGGCGCTAGCCCCCAAATTTTCTTCGCCTGCGGCGGGCGCCTTCTAATCCGGATCGATCCTCCTCATGCCTCAGCAATCGCCGCCTCAGCATCCTCCTCTTCCGATTCTCGTTGCTCTTCTTGAGCGCAATCTCTAGCCAAACATTTCTCACATAAATAGCCTCAAGCTCAAACAAACGCATGTCAGAGAAGCCTGTGTATGCTGGTCCTCTTTGAACGATCCGCGCGTGAGGTAGATCTAGCATAGGGCCTTGTTGGCAGCAGCCAGCTTGTTGCGCTGCTTCGTTGCGATGAGCTGATTGGGATCGCAGAAGTGCATGCCAAGCACCGCCACGATCTTGAAGCAGAACACATCGCAACCGCATCGTCCGCACTGCCATCGGCATGCCGCGCCCGCCGCTTCGCCGCAGCCGCCTTAAGACACGCATAGCGGCAGCACATGCTACGGTGCGCGTACTTGAGCAGGAGTTGCGCGCCGCAAGTCGCGCACTGGCCCTGGGACAAGGCGATATGGCGTCGTGCGCGGCATACGTTGGTCGGGACGCGTCCAGGTATTTTTCGGGTAAACCTGGACTTTTGCAGGTATACCCGGGTTTTACCCGGATTTGGCCTTGTGCCGTCTAAGTTCATGGCCCCCGACCATACAGCGTCTAAGTCCGAGCCCGGCTCCGTGCGGGGGCTAAGTTGAGCGCTCGCTCGCTGCAGAGGCTAAGTGTAGAGCGACCCTCTAGCCCTACTACCCAACCATTCTAAGCGCTAAGGGTGTAGGGAGGGAGCCCTAGAGCCCTCGTGCCTACTTCAGAGCCTGGCGATGACCGATGTCGAGCGATGGGGACCACGCGTCCACGGACCTGGAGGCTCCACGCCACCGCGACACTCCCATCATGGGCATCTCCCATCTTTTTTATGACCAGTCCGTAGAACAGCCGTGTCCTTGATCTTGTGTGTCTCTTATCACCCTACTGTGGCTCGCACCTCAACCTCTCACAGACCAGCGCACAGCGCCATAAGGAGGTATTTTCTTCTCAATAACAAGGCTGTGAATCGGATTTTCCGATTAGTTTACTTGAGTAAATTCGCGGCGTTCGCGGCGAGCCGAGCCAGGCCACGGCGCTCGGCCTGCTGAGAGAAGACCTGCCCGGACGGCAGTGACAAGTTACCCGACAGCAATCGTCGACGGCAAGCTCGAGAACTGCGCCTCCAAAGTCGCCCAGATTCGCCTCTCGCGGCGCGCTGAGTTAGTATCGCCGGTGCGCCAGCCGGCTCTGCTCCACAGCAGGGCATGCCTGACTGGCTCCTGCTAGCCGTGCGTCCTGGTGGCATCCATAGCCAGCTCAGGTAGCCGCAGGAGGTCGCCTCGCGCACGACTCGGCGCCGCACATCACCGCTCCGCGTTACTACCGAGTTAGTATCGTCGACCCACAGAGACTGCTCTTCTGTAGGTGGAGCCGACAAACGCCGGCCGGGTCGGCCCCGCCGCCCCCATCGCCGCCGCCGGGGCGGCGGCGGCCTCGGCGGACCATCCGGCGCGCCGCGCGCCCGACGGGGAGGTGTTCACCACTCTTTTCTCCTCACCCCGCCACGCCTTCGTGCAGACGCCGTGGCACCCACCTCAGGCGCCGCCCGGACTCGGTTTACGGCCGCCCAAGTGCTTGGCTCGTGCCCAGCCGACCGGAAGGCGTTGCCCACTCACTGCTAGGCTAATCTCGGGCTGTCAAGCGGCGGTGTGGTGCCGTGAAGGGCACCGGGACCAAAACTACGACCATTAGTACCGTTCCCGGGCAGTGGATTTAATTCTGTCAAAAATCGAGATGTGCTCCGTGGGATGTATTGGGCTAGGATCATGCGTCCGGGAGGCCCCCCTTGCGTGCCGCAACGACCCACAGTCCTGGTACCACTCTGTTCACGTTCACAGCTGTAAAGTGGACCATATAACACCGATACTGGAGGCGTGGTGTGTTGGTGCCAGTGCGCGCGCCCGTGCCAGATTGTAAAATTCTTCCTTTACTGCAACCCTGTGTGGTGACGGCGTGCCGTTCTCCCATCCCTCCCTTGGGTTGTCGGTTTTCTTTCTTTCTTTCAGGCGACGGCAAAAATGCAAGCCCCGCCCCTGGCCACTGTTTAGAAGAGGAAACGAGCACTTAGAGCACTTAGAGGACCATCCGGCGCGCCGCGCGCCCGACGGGGAGGTGTTCACCACTCTTTTCTCCTCACCCCGCCACGCCTTCGTGCAGACGCCGTGGCACCCACCTCAGGCGCCGCCCGGACTCGGTTTACGGCCGCCCAAGTGCTTCTCGTGCCCAGCCGACCGGAAGGCGTTGCCCACTCACTGCTAGGCTAATCTCGGGCTGTCAAGCGGCGGTGTGGTGCCGTGAAGGGCACCGGGACCAAAACTACGACCATTAGTACCGTTCGCGTTCCCGGGCAGTGGATTTAATTCTGTCAAAAATCGAGATGTGCTCCGTGGGATGTATTGGGCTAGGATCATGCGTCCGGGAGGCCCCCCTTGCGTGCCGCAACGACCCACAGTCCTGGTACCACTCTGTTCACGTTCACAGCTGTAAAGTGGACCATATAACACCGATACTGGAGGCGTGGTGTGTTGGTGCCAGTGCGCGCGCCCGTGCCAGATTGTAAAATTCTTCCTTTACTGCAACCCTGTGTGGTGACGGCGTGCCGTTCTCCCATCCCTCCCTTGGGTTGTCGGTTTTCTTTCTTTCTTTCAGGCGACGGCAAAAATGCAAGCCCCGCCCCTGGCCACTGTTTAGAAGAGGAAACGAGCACTTAGAGCACTTGGGTGCACTTGGAGCACTTGGAGTGCAGTCATCAGCCTCACATCCAGGGCGACCGCGTTTTCTTCCTTCTTTCTTGTGACTGCAACCCGGTGCGGTCGGGTGCGGTCGGGCTCGCGAGGGCAGACGGATCCCCCCTGTGGAAAAGTGAGGCGTGGTCTCTACTCGCCATCTCTCGCCAGCCAGTCGGGCCGCTCGCATCCAATGACTGCGCCGCTGCTGGCTTCGCTGCTGCTGTCGTCGCTCAATATTTTTGCCGAAGTGGCCACGCCGCAGACCGTGACGCTCAACAACGGCCTAGTAATGCCCAAGCTCGCATTCGCCGCCAACGTGTGGCCCGCAGCGACTTGCCGCAACGCCACTCACCTCGCCCTCGACGCTGGCTTTCGCTTCGTGTGGTCGTCGGCGCTGGTGCACTTGGAGTGCCAGCGGGCGCAGCGCGAGGCGATTTCCGAGCACCCGACGGTACGGCGCGCCGACCTCTTTTTGGCGGGCACCGTCGATACGCAGGGCTGCGCCACACTCGACGACTGCCGCTCGGCCACGCTGGCCGGGGCGCATGCGCAATTTCGGATCCTCGGGCCCGAGCCGCTCGAGATGCTCATGCTCGACTATCCGAGCTCGGCCGGCTGTGCCGGCATCACCGGGCAGTGGCAGGCCTTGACCGCCCTGTACCGCGCCGGCAAGGTGCGCTCTGTGGCGGTGAGCAACTTTGCGGCTGCGCAGCTGTCGTGCCTCTTCTCTGCGGAGGGGGAGGGCGGCGCGGTGGTGCCGCCCGTGGCGAACCAGATGCGGTTCTACGTCGGCCACACCGGGGTCGACCTCGGACTCAACGCGCGGCACGGCATCGTCGTTCAGGCCTACAGCCCGCTCGGCAACGGCGCCCTGATACCCGCTGCTCCTGCTGCCACCAAGCTGGAGCCTCCCCGAGCCTCTCAGCCTTCTACCGTAGGCGCCCTCGCATCGGACCCGCTGCTCGCGGCGATCGGCAGGGCGCACGGCAAGAGCGCGGCGCAGGTGGCGCTGCGCTACATCCTGCAGAAGAACGTGACGGTCGCGACGCAGAGCACGTCGCAGGCCGCAGTACGCCTCAGCGGCGAGGCTGTGTAGAGGTGCGGAGCCAAGCTCTCGCCGATTGCGATAGGTGCACCTCGCCGAGGATGCCGCCCTCTTCGGCTGGAGCCTCGGTGCGGCGGAGATGGCGAGGCTGGACGTGTACCACCGCCGGGTGGAGAGGCTCGACGCGCTCCACGAGGCGACCGCCAGAGAGGAGGAGCCCGCCGGGGAGGAGGAGCCCGCCGGGGAGGTTGTGCCGCCGTCCTGCCCGCCCGGCACCGTGCCGTGGCCGGGCGAGGCGTGCGAACCCCTTCGACGCGCGGAGGCGTCCGCGCGCGCCTTTCTGCGCGCAAACATGTTCCCCTTCGACGCGCCCAACGCGGCGACGCTCTTCGACGACTTCTCGGCGAGCACTTCGTCCGGCGTCGCGCAGGCGACCGCCTCGCTCGCCCTCTCTGCGCGCACGCGGTTCGGCTGGGCGGCGAGCGTGCCACGCCGCCTCTTCGAGGGGTACGTGCTGCCGTACGCAAGCGTGAACGAGGCGCGGACCGATTGGCGGCAGCTGCTCTGGGAGGCGCTCACGCCGCAGCCGTGGGTGGAGGCGCTGCCGAACACGTCGTCGGTCGAGAGCGTGGCGGTCGCTGTGAACCGGAACCTGTGGGGCGCGCTAGGCAACCTGACGGGCCGGCGCGTGGCGACGCTTCCAGCAGCCTCCCCTGAGCCCAACACTGAGTGTTCTCCATGCAACCTTCCAGGCGCGAGGCGATCCGCTTCAAGTCGGACCAGACGCCGCTCGTCTACGACCCGCTCTCGACCATCCTGTTTGGCTACGCGTCCTGCACCGGCGTCTCGATCGCCTACGTCGACGCGCTACGCACGCTCGGCGTGCCGGCGCGGCTCGCAGGCACGCCCGCGTGGCACGGCAAGCCAGAGGCTGGCAACCACAACTGGGTGGAGGTGTGGCTCAACGCGACTGCTGGCTGGCGCTTCATCGAGGCGGCGCCCGCCGGCGCGGGCGAGACCTTCTCCGACCCGTGCGACAAGTGGTTCTGCAACAAGGCGCACTTTGGGGGGGGCACGCGCGTGTTCGCCGCGGCGTTCCGGAGGGAGGAATACGGCGAGGGGCGCGCGGCGACGCACTACCCGATGGCGTGGGACCTCGACAACAAGGGCGTGGTGGGCGTCGACAGGTCCGAGTACTATGCGAGCGTGTGCGGCGCGTGCGGAGGAGTCGAGGGTGCCGCGCGTTAAACGCTTTATGTGTTTAGAGACTAGCCGCTCGTGTCGTCACCGCCGGCCGACTACACGGTAAGGCATACGGACCTTGCAGAAAACCTTTTCCTTCTAAGCAGGGCTACACAATGACCCTATAGTGTGTGGGTGGTCCTGGCGAGTTGTGATGAGTAGAATTAGACTAGCCAATACTATTTTGAAGTTCATATATGAAAATACCAACTTGCCTATGTGCACGTCTCCGCCGCGGCGGCCCGGAGGCGGCCCGGCGGAGCGGTCAGAGCAGCACTGCGCGGGCCGGCGATCGACTCTCGACTATAGTACGGGCTCTATTGAATGGCCTCAAGGTGCTCTCTAGGGCTGCCCTATTCCGCTCGCCCGGCTACGTCGCCGGGCTTCGAAGGAAAAGGTTTCGCTCGGCACGGCGTCGGAGAGCAAACTTCGACGTTCGTCCTATAGTGGAAGCTGGACGCACGTAGGCAAGTGGCCCATGACCAGGCGGGCTGCTGCTCAGAATCTGGGCCGTCGGCGCTCGCTCTCGCGCTCTTCATAACGGCGTTGCCCCCTCCCTCCCGCGCCGACGTTGGGCAGCCCGACCACGACAACGTCAGCGCCGCTGGCCTGCAACTCGAGGCGCCTTTGAATGAGCACGAGCCGGTGCGCGGCGGCGGCGCGGGTGATGCAGCCCAAGGTGACGGCGACGGCAGAGGGGGCGGCGCCGGCGGCGGAGGAGGCGGCAGCGGCGGCGATGGCCGCGGGGTCGGCCCGCCCGCCTTTGCTGCTGGTGCTGTGGGCATCATCACAGCTCAGCGGCGGTGTGCGACCAGGGCCAGTGGTAGACTTTCGACGCGGTGAGGCTGCTCTCTGAGCAATGACACTAGCAAGAGCATCATGTGTGTCATCGGAGTCACTTGTATTACGATACCACCACGCCGCCACGCTCGCAAGGGCCGCCTAAGCGCCTAAGCACCCTAAGCACCCCCCCGCTTAGGCCGCTTAGGCGCTTAGGCGAGTGACGGCCGGCTGCCCGGGGCCTGGCGTGCCTCCGCCGTGGGCTGAGCGCCCGGGAGAGCCACTCTGCAAGTGGTGTGCGAGCGTGTAGCCTTTAGCGTGCAGTCGGCCCGCCGGGTCCTTCCTAGGCCGGCGCCCGTCACAAAAAAAGCGCCCGTCACAGATTACCGTAGTGTCGGTTGTAATCATTAGGGCAGGGAATAAACCAACGGACGTGGGACGAACGGGTTTTCTTTTTGGGGGTAGATCTGGAAACAATCTTGGATGATGGATCGCTTGACGCTTCACCGTGTCTCTCTCTGCAGCTGCACCGCCACGCGCCCTAGCACGCGCCAGAGCGGCCCGGAACTAAATCGCCGTAGAGCCGTAGACGGTGGAGCCCGGGGCGCGGGGGGGCGGGGGGGAGGCATTTGAGCGCGATGTCCGCCTGCTCGTCCTGGTGGGGGGGCAACTACAGCGGGGCGTCACACCCGAAAGAGCCTGGAACTCTGGATAGAGACACTGAGAGGGACCCGCTCGCGGCGTCGCCATCGGCGCAACCACCTCCCACGCATTCGCAGCCGGGTCGTACCGCTCCATCGATTACATGGCAGGAAAGCAGAAACAAATGCGGGGTGGCCGTTTTGAATTCAGACCAGCTCGCCCGGCTTCGACTGCAAACGAGGTTCTTTGATGGAGATGCCCTCGGGAAAACGAGGCTCACAGCCGCTTCAAAGTCCTCTTGCAAGTCCCAGGCGAGGCTGCTTTGGGCCGCGGTTGCTTCCGCTCACCTCGCCCACTCATGCGTCTAGGGGAGGGGGGAGGGGGGGTTAGGATTGAAACAGGGGAGAGGGCGAGAGAAGGAGATCGACGAACCTTTGCATTTATTGCTCTTCCACTTGCAGCCCTTCACCCCCTTGCACTTCTTCCTTGTGGAGTGTGCGGAGCAGCCCACCTCACACTGTCTATTCTTCCACCGGCACGCCTTGTCCTTCATACATTTTTTCTTCTTTGTGAGCGCGGAGCAGCCCACCTCGCACTGTCTATTCTTCCACCGGCACGCTTCATCCTTTTTGCACTTTTTCTTTGAGGAGATCGTTGCGCAGTGCGGTAGAGGAGGCGGCGAGGCGGAGGGCGGCGGCGAGGCCGAGGTCGGAGGCGGCGCCGAGGGCGAAGCGGGGATGCACACGCAGTTGCCCCAGAGCGTCGAGTAGATGGCCTCGATTGAGCACCATGCGGTGTTATCGTTGTCGATCGTAGTGCACTCGCTGTACGTTGCGCCGTCGTAGGTGAAGGGGAAGACACAGGTTGAGCCCTCCGGAGCTGAGCCGCCTGTGGTCGTGCACGGTGCCGGAGGCGAGTCGAGCGAATCGCGGAAGTTCGCCACGGCCAGCTTGTTGTCCAGGAAGGTCTGGGCGACCATGTTGTGCTGGTCTCCGATGATCTTGCCAGAGTAGGTCGTCCAGACGTTGGACAGCCGCTGGACTCTGGGACAGTAGGTCGGACAATTGTACGCCATGATCGAGCGGAACTCGTCGTCGGGGTCCTGCCATCCGTAGCCATATCCGTCGCCTGTTGCCGGCAGACCAAGTTCCGCTCGGTCGTGATCAGCACCCATGTTGTGTCCGAGCTCGTGAAGGAACGAGAAGTAGCCCCTGTCGAGAGCGAGTGGCGTCGGCCTTTGGCCAGAGAAGGTTAGGAGGCCAGGGCTACAAGGCGACGGGCAGGACTCACGTGGCGCAATTGTAATCCGAGATCGAGAAGCCTCGCGACTCGGACCCGGTGAACTGATTGGACATGCCACAATATGCATCGTCGGTGATTATGGCTGCCACGAGATCGGCACCGTGTGCGTCGCGTCTCGTGTGGACATCGTCCATGAACCCGTCGCCATCATTCCTTAGATGGCTCAAGGTGCTGCTGAAGTTGGTCTCGACGTAGCTCGGTTCGTAGTACACATGGACGATCCTGAACCTGAGCTCGGCCGAAGTGATGCCCGAATTGTCGAGAGCGGCGTTGGACTCTTCCAGCGCTAGCTCAATGCGGTCCTCGATCGTCTGCTTGACGGAGGGAGAATCCACAGGGTCCGGACAAGTCTCGTACGAATAGCCGGCATCTGCGCACACTGCACACGGGAGGAGGAGAGTGTCAGTGTGGAGCTGAGAGGATGGAGGGCGGGCGTGCAGCTACGGTCCGAGTACGCACTGGCAGCTCTCGTGTACAGAACGAGCAGGTCGATCACGGTCCCATCGTCCACGTTTGTCATCTTTTGACGCCCAGGTGGCACCGCTCCGGGCGTATCTTCAGGGTCAGGATCATCCTTGAAGGCGGACGCGTTGCGCGCTGAGAGAAGCACCTCCCCGCTCGGGAGGGTCTTGATGCTGTAGATGGTGCCCGCCGTGGTGACCGAGCCGACGAGCCGGCCGCCGCTCGAGATGAGGAGGTTGGCGACTGAGCCGCTCTTCGCCTCGGTTCCGTGCCAAAATCGGCCGCTGTCGGTCCTCTGGGTCTTAAAGGCGGTGGTCGCTGCGCCTTCGGCGAGCTGCACGCCGACCTCCGTGACGTTGGCAAAGTCGTGCTGGGCGTTCACGTCGGCAACGTCATGCCGGGCGCTCCTGACTACCGTCTCCTGCCACGTGAGTTGGCCAAGAGCCCCGGGCACAGCCCGAGCACTGGGTTGGGAAGCCAAGCGGAGCGAGATCGCCCGGAGTGAGACCCGGCTCTCCTCGCCGCCGTGTACTGAGGCCCACATGAGGGTGAACAGGAAGAGCGCGTTCATGGCGGCAAGCGCACCTGCGCGACGTGCTCTTCGCCGCGGAACCGTTTCGAGCGGAGATTTTGCCACCACTTCACATCGGCGGGCGCTCACTCTGTGGGAAGAAAACAGTTTGCGCCTCACCGCCTCCGCCCTCGCCGCCTCCGCCCTCCTGCCCCCGCCCTCGCCACCTTCATCCTGCTCATCCGCCTCCGTCCGCCCTCGGCGGGCCGCGGCGCGACCACATCAGTATTCTTTTTGGAAGCACCAAGGCCACGCTCTCCAACGCCCTGCCCGATGGACGACGAGCGGTTCGATGGCATGTACATGAACATGGCTGGCCAGCTGGGAGGCATCGACCCGCTGCTGGACGGCTTCTTCGGCTTCCTGCGCCGCAAGACAGACTTCTTCACGGGCGCCGCCTCGGCGGACGCAGCTGAGGCGACGGTGCTCAAGGCGCTCAGCAAGAACAAAGAGCGGGCAGAGGAGGACGCGCGCGAGAAGGCGGCCAAGGAGAGGAAGCGCAAGGCGGAGGAGGAGGCGCGCCGTGCGCGAGTCGCCGCCGAGCGCGCCAAGCAGCAGAAGCAGGAGGATGAGAGCCGAATCGTCGACGTGACGGACGAGCTGGCGGCGTCAGCGAGCGGCGAGGGCGGCGCGGCGGGCGACGCGGCGGCGGGCGACGCGGCGGCGGGCGGCGCGGCCGCGGACAGCGAGGAGGGTGGTGAGGAGAGCAAGGGCCAGGCGCCAGTCAACAACGGCGGCGTCTGCGGCAACTACAGGTGGGAGCAGTCGCTCGGCGACGTGACGGTGTTTGTGGCGGTGCCCAAGGGGACAAAGGCGAAGCAGCTCAACGTGCAGATCGGGAAGAAGCGGCTGGTCGTCGGCGTGGCCGGCGCGCCGAGCGGCTGGCTGGCGGAGGTGCATAGACACGGGACCAGACCCGCTGAGCCTACTCGGTCTCTTTGTGCAGGCGCACCGAGCGGGCCGCTCGTGGAGGGGGAGCTGCACGCCGCGGTCAAGCTGGAGGCGTCGCAGCTTCGTAGATGCGGAGAGAAGACGGGCGGGCACAGCCGACCCGAAGAGGAGGGCACCGGCGGCGAAAGGGGTGGCTTGGGCCTCGAGCCCCTGCCGCCCAGCGACTTGCCGCTGGGAGCTAGACGTGGGAGCTAGACGTGGGAGTGTGCTGCCAGTTGTGGTGGCGACCGGGCTGCCTCGTCTCACTCGTGCGACGGCCGCCCTGCGCAGGACTCGTCGTGGTCGGTCGAGGACAACGCCAAGGAGGACAACCGGCTGGTGACCCTGACGCTGACAAAGATGAACGGGATGGAGTGGTGGAACCGCCTCCTTGTGGGCGACGCCGAGATTGACACGCAAAAGGTGGGAGATCAGCCGAGATCAGCCGAGATCAGATTTGAAACTCCGAGGCGCCCGGCGTCTGTCTGTCTCCTCTCTCTCCCCCTTCTCCCCTCTCCCCTCTCTCCTGAGCTCGGCGAGGCCACGCCCTCCGAGCTTGGCCGAGGTCCGAAAACGGCCCCCCCTTGCGAGCAGGTGGAGCCGGAGAACTCGAAGCTCTCCGACCTCGACGGCGAGACGCGCCAGGCGCGAGATCTCGCCGATATCTCCCCGATATCTCCCCGAGAGTCGCCCCGAGAGTCGCCGAGAGCCGCCGAGAGCCGCCGAACTCAGCGACGCGCGCCGGGCGCACTGCGCCTCAGAGAGAGGGTCGAGAGAAGCCGCCCCTCCCTCTCCCCTTGAGGGGCGGGCAGCCGCGAGAGGCCACATCCGCCCTCCTCCCCTCCCCTCCCCTCCCCCTACCCCTCGCCGCTCCTCACCTCTCCCCCTCCGCCTCTCCCTCTGCCGCCAGACCGTCGAGAAGATGATGTACGATCAGCGGCAAAAGGCGGCCGGGCTGCCCACCGCCGACGAGCAGAACAAGCAGGACATGCTGAAGCGCTTCATGGAGCAGCACCCGGAGATGGACTTCTCCAAGGCCAAGATTTGCTGAGCCCGGGCTCGTGCCGGAGGCGGCGGCGGTGCGAGCGGCGTGCCGAGACACGCAGACGGCGGACCGCGTCATCTGCACGTTGGATTACTTCCTTGGGGTGAAGATCCGTTCGCCGCGGTGTGCACACCGTCGTGTTTCGGTTCTTGGAGCGCGCACATCCATCGAGGGATGCGCCCACCAACGACACACTCTTCTTCTCGAGCAACATATTGTACAAACGGTTGCGCGCGACACGTCCGCCGGATTCGGCACACAAGGACAAACAACAAACAACTCTCACAAGGAAAGACGAAAGACGAAAAGAAAGGAAAGCCGACCCAAGGGAGGGATGGGGGGAGGACGGCACGCCGCCACCACACAGGGATTTTTTAAGGAGAGGGGTGAGGTGCACTAGCCGTCGCCCACCCTTGGGCGTCCGCCTCTTCCTATCTCTCTTCGCAGTCTCTCTCCGATTCTCGCTGCGACCTTCGTGCCACCTCGCGGTCGCCCCCTTCTCGTCGTGCTCTCCCTTGTCGCTTCTTCCTCTGTCGCGTCGCTCTCCTCTGTCTCGTTCTGCGACGCCGCCGCCGCCTGCCGGTCCCTTGTTCTCGCGGCTTCTTTCGGCACACAAGGAGCGCCACCAATCGTGCGCGGCAGTGTATTTCTTTCTCGCTGCTGCCGTTGTCCAACGATGGCGACTCCACTGGCCGACGCAGCCGTCGATCATACGTCAAAGCTTGTTGGCGAGGCGCTCTACATCATCCAGCGCGACGTCGTCAAGCTCACGCTGCTCGCGCTCGGAGCCGCGGGCGTGCGCGTGGTCCGGCGCAACCTCCTGCCACTCCTGCGGCTAAGCCCGCCGGGCCTTGTGGCGAGCGGCGCGGTGCTCGTCGCGCTGGTGGCCGCCTGGGCGCTCGGCCCCGCGCACGCCGCCGCGCAGGCGAGTGATGGCGACAGAGGCGGCGCTGCCGCTGCCGCTCCTCCGGCGCGGCAGCCGCTCGGAGCGATCGCCCTCCTGGCCGCCGCGCTGGTGATAGACCGGCTCGACCTGCTCGTGAAGCTGCGCGACGTGCTACTTAGCCAGGCCCACACACTCGCAGCCACCGCCCTGCCTGCGCTCCGCCGCCTGCTCGGCCTCGCAGCCGAGGCGCCGCCCCCGCGAAGAATCTCGGCGCCGCACTGGCTGCGCCTCGCCGGCGCGTGCGGGACTGTCGGAGGGTGTGCCGCAGTCGTGCGTGCCGCGGCGGCGCGGCGGCGAGCTGCGGCGCTGCTGCTGCTCGAGCAGCAGAGGCGCGGGTCGGGCCCACTCGCAGCGCTCAGGCGACTGCTCGCGCGGCTGCCGCCGGCGGCGGGACGGTGAGGATTCCTCATTCCCAGCCAGTATCGTTAGAGAGTAGTACCGGCCAGTCGTCTGCGCGCGTAGTCAATCAAAATATCCACATAGGAATGTGGGCCCTTGTAGTTTGAGACCGCGATGAAAATGCATGCGGCTTTACAGTTTAAAGATTAAAAGGAGAGTTTACACCAGTCACGACCGGCGGAGGGGGTGTGCGGCGTGTGGGAGAACACACCGTGTGCCACCCCTCTGTCGGGAATAAATAAATAAATAAATAAAACGGGCACGCCAAACGAGGGGTGGGAGAAGGACAGACAGGGTCCCCACCTGCACGAGCAGGATCTTGTAAGGACGATCAGGGAGACCCTGCCCTGCGGGGTATCGCGTTTCTTTTAGTACGCTTTGTAAATTCTTTAGAGGGGCGCTGTTCGTTTGAGCTGCAAGCAATGGCGGACTCGGACTCCCCTCTCGTCACCGCCCGGCGCAGCCGTCGCCGCGGCGCCGAGGAGCGCGCTGGACACGAGAACTCCCCGCCTGCTCCCCAGGTCTCCCAGGCGGCGAGCTCCAAGCTGTGGGCGGACGGCGCCCACACCCCGTGCGACTTGGCAAAGGAGCCGGCCAAGAAGGTGCTGGAGCTGGCCGAGACGACGCTCACCGCCGAGGAGCTTGCAGCGGTACGGATGCAGCGGTCGGCCCGCACCGCCGCGCAGCAGGCGGCCAAGGAGGCTGCGGGGGAGGAGCTGGTCAAGGCAGGCCGGCGCTTCTCCGAGGTGCTGAGAAGGCGCCGCAGCACGGCAAAGCAGGCGGCGCGCGCCGCCGCCGAGGCGGAGGCGCGGCACAACCACATTCAGAGGGCGACCTCAGCCGCCATGCGCGCCGCCGACACGGCGGCTCGGACCAAGGCGGAGGCGGAGGCGAGGATGAGGATGGAGGGGTCGAGGCGGGCGGCGCGGGAGGTCGAGTCGCTCGCGGCGGCGGAGGAGGCGGCGCGCAAGATGGCCGAGGTGGATCTGCCCGCCGCCGCGGCGGAGGCGACGGCGGCGGCGACGGCGGCCGAGGTCCGGATGAAGGACGCGATGGTCTCCGCCGCGGACGCGGCTCTCGAGGAGGTGGAGGCGGCCAAGGTGCGGCACGCCAAGGCGACTGCCGCACGGCAGGCGGCGGCGGCGGCCCTCGCCGCGACGGAGGAGGAGATGCGGGTCAAGGTGTGCGGCGCCCCTCTGGCCCTCTCTCTTGCCTGGCCAACTCGCAAGAGCTGCGCCCTCTAGCGCCCCACACACCCCTCGCCACGCCCCACACACCCCGAGGCCCGCCCCGCGCTCCTCGAGACCACCCGAGAGTTGTCCGAGGCCCTGTCCGAGGCCCCTGCTCCTCGCGTGCCCGCGTCAGATTGCAGCTGCGCAGCGGCAGCTGCGCGCCGCGGAGGACTTTGAGGCGGCGAGGCTGGCGGCGGTGGGCGCGGCGGAGGCGGTGGCGGAGGAAGCTGTGGCGGCTGCCAACAGCGAGGTTGTGGCTGAGAAGATGCTAGAGGTGGCAAAGGATGCGGCCGCCAGCGCCGCCGCGCAGGAGGCTGCGGCCGCCGCGGCGCTCGAAGCGGCGGCAGCAGAGACCCGCGCAACCAGGGAGGCGGCGGCGGTGGCGGCGGGGTACATGGAGGCGGCCAAGATTGCGTCGCGCCGGCTCGCGTGCGGCGCCCTAAAGCCCGCGACCTCCCCGCCGCTCTTGCGGCAAGAGACGGCTCCGTCGGTTCTGCTGCACGAGCAGGGCAGCCGCCGCCAGGGCCGGCCGCCGCCGCCGTCGCCGCCGCCGCCGCCGCCGCCGCCGCCGCCGCCTCCTCCTCCTCCGGCTCCTCCTCCTCCGGCGAGCGCGTGGGAGAAGCTGCGACAGGGGGGCGCTCGATCGGGCCCATGCATCGAGTCCGGCGACCAGCCGCCCCTGCTTGGAGTGGAGGAGGCGGCGGAGGAGGCGGAGGAGGCGGCGGCTGCCGCGGCGGAGCTCGCGTCGATGCTTCCGTCCGTCCCGGCGCACGCGCCCATCCCAGGCGGCATCCGAGCGAAGCACGGCACCGTGCGGGCAAAGGCGCTGGCGGCGATTTATGCCGTCGAGGCCTCCCGCTCTGCCTTGGAATCAGCTTTGGCGGCTGCAGGGCTGAAGCCAGCTTCCTGACCACAGTGTGACCTCAGCAGCACGCAGCAGAAACCTCGATGCACGCCCCTTACGGTTTACGCATGGTCACAGAGTGACAGAGAGAATGTGCACATGAGAGTGGGAGTGAGGTCACGGTCAGGGGCTCAGCCGGGGGGGCGGGCCCGTGTGCGAGGAAACTTTACATGTCGGCTGGCGCAAAACTATTCACAGCTAATGAAAACCGGATGAAAAACTCTCGGGCCTCTTCCGTGGGGTGATATGTCTGACGTGTGAGGTGACGAACGTATAAAGCCCCGTACGTGACAACCCCGCGCCGTACCACGACTCACGACGTCACTCGTCACGCGCCCCGGCGGTCCGCGCCGCGAGCGCGGCGTCCGGCGTGGGTGCGCGGTGCGGCCCCTGCGCCGCCGGAGCCGGGCCCACCGGGGGGTGCGGGACCATGCGCGACCGCGCGCGCGCGCGCGGAGGCGCACAAGCGCCAGGCGGGAGGCCTCGAGTACGGTGCGAGAGCGTAGACGCTAGAGCGTGCCGCCCGTGCCTCAGCTCGCCTTCCGTGGCGCGGCGGCGCGCACGCGCTCTCAGCCGCGCCCCCTAGTTGCGAGGGGGTCTGCCGAGGAAGCCGGTGCAGTTTGGCGCGCCGCAATGGCAACGTTGGGCCACCTTCGGGTCGCCCGACCATTTGACCGAATAGTTGTACGAGAGCTCCTCCCCCTCGGCGATCTCCATGCGCGCGAAGAGGCCGAGGCGCGGCACGCGCTGCACGTACCACTTCTCCACCTGCAGGTTGGGCGAGCAGCTGTGGTTGATGAAGCGCGCCACGTTGCCCTTGCGCGACGCGTCGACGATCTCGTACGGGTTGAGCGCCATGAAGTACATGTGCTGATAGCGCGAGAGCGAGCGCTTGCGCTCCTCCCACGTGCCCTCGTCAATCACCTCCCCAACGTACTCGATGACGAGCTCGCCCTGCGAGATGCTGCGCGTCGCCTTAGACTCAGGCAAGACTCATGAGCAATTCACGATCGGGAGCCATCCACCGCGCGAGATGCGGCGCGTCGCCTTGACGCCCCACCCCTTGGTCTCGGTCAGGAAGAGCGCCACCGGCGGCGCCTCCTGCGTCGACAGCTCGCGGTTCGCGCACAGCTTGCCGCACGGGCACGTCGCCGCGTCGCACTCCTGCTGCGAGGCGCGGTTCTGGCAGCGGTGGTCGCAGCCGCCAGTCGCCAGCGAGCAGAGGCAGGGACCCACGTCGGTGGCCGGCAGCATCTCGCGCGGCCGACCGTGCGCGTACACCGAGCGGCGGATCTCCTTGTACGCCGGCGGGCCGAACCCGCCCCGCGGCGTGATCTGGTGCGAGCGCAGCTCGTGGAGCACGTCGGCGGGCAGCTCGAAGGGCCGCTCCTCCGCCCCGGCGGGCAGCCCGAGCCCGCGCCGCGGCAGCTTGGCCGTGCGCAGGCCGGCGAGGGCGTGCAACGTGTCTCGCACGTCGTTCGGTGCGAGAGTGAGCAGCGGGGCGGCGACCTCGCTGTCTGCAGCAGCCGCCTGCGCGGCCACCAGCGCCTGCGCGGCCGGCGGCAACCAAGGGTCCGGCGCGTTGAGGCCCTTGGGCGTGTTGTGCGCGCATCGGCGGCAGAGCATCGAGCAGTGCGTCATCTGCAGCTCCACCTCGCCCGCGCCGCTTGTGCGGTGCAGGCACGAGTGGTGGTGCGCCTATTGTCTCGTGACTGATGAGTGCCGGTGTACTGCTAACGAATGGTGCAGGCACGAGTGCTGGCGGTGCCGTGCAGCAGCGCACGCACATCTGCATGCCGCGACCGTACTTGGCCTCCTCCGGCCCACCGCACGTGTGGCACCTGCTCACACAAGAGGCCGTGAAGAAAGAGCAGCGCCTCTTCACGCCAGCCGCGCGTGGCAGCACGCCAATGCCGCGCACAACACAGCAAACCGCGCGCGCTGTCGCCGCCGCCGCGCGCGCTGTCGCCGGCGCCAGCGCCGGCGCCGCCGCAATTGTCGCCACAGCTGTCAGCCTCACCGGCCCCGCCGGCCCCGCCGCCGCCACAAGCCACGCCGCCGCCATAGGCCCCGCCGCTCCCGCCCCCGCCCCCGCCGCCGCCGCCTCCGCCCTCGCCTCCTTCACCGCAGCCGGCGTCGCTGGAGCCAACCTCGGAAAGGGGCATCCTCTCCACCACCGCCTCCACCTCGACCTCTTCGTCCTCCGACCCCGCCAGCGCCGCCGTCCCCTCCCCCATCGACTCTACAGCTGCGGCCGACGCAACCTCCGCCGCCTTTGCCGCTGCTGCCTCCTCCGCCGCCGTCGTGCTTGCCGCCGCCGCCGCCGCCGCCGCCCTCGCCGCCGCCGCCCTCGCCGCCGCCTCCTTTGCCGCCGCCCTCGCCTCCCCCCTCGCCGCCGCCCTGGCCGCCGCCTTGGCCGCCGCCGCCTCGGCCGCCCTGGCCGCCTTTGGGAAGGGCTGCAGCGAGGCGAGCAGGCAGGCCGGGTGAAACATCTTGCCGCAGTGCCGCGCCTGGAGAGGAAGCCCGGCCGCCCTTCACCCGGCCAAGTCTGCGAGGCAGAGTCTGCCGAGGCAAAGTCTACCGACTCTGGTCCGCAGGGCCGCCACACGACCGCCGATCCCGCCGGTGGGTGTGCGGGTCGACGGCGGTGGGTGTGCGGGTCGACGGCGGTGGGTGTGCGGGTCGACGGCGGTGGGTGTGCGGGGCGACGGCGGTGGGTGGATGCAGAGTGGCGGTGTGGTGCTCTCGGAGCCGACTTGTCCAGACAGGGGAGCGTGCTGCTCTCTGAGGAGCCACTACGCGTGCACCGCGCACTGCTGCAGCTCGTCGCGCGCCGCCCACTTCTTGCAGCCGAAGCAGCGGTACCGCCGGGCGAGGCAGTCTGCGCAGCGCCACTTTGCGCGCTCGTCGTGCGGGGGCGGGTTGTTCAGAGGCACGCACTCGATGTGGAAGGAGCGGCGGCACGGCCCTGCGGAAGGCATGCCGCGCGTGCGGAGGGGAGGGGGGGAGGGGGGCGGAGGGGGCGCCACCGCCGCGGTCTCAGGGCTTGAGCGCACCGTCGCAGCAGACCAGCCGCCCCACCTCCTCGCAGAGGGCGCACACGTCCTCCGAGTTGTCGCCGCGCCCGCCCTCGTCCTGCGGCGGAGACGGAGGCCGCTGAGAGGCATGAGGGAGGGAGATGAGAGAGAGAGATGAGATGAGAGAGGGATAGAGATGAGGAGAGGGAGAGAGGGAGGGAGAGAGAGATGATAACGAGAGAGTGGAGCAAGAGAGAGAGAGAGAGAGAGAGAGAGAGAGAGAGAGAGAGAGAGAGAGAGAGAGAGAGCAGAGAGAGAGAGAGAGCAGAGAGAGAGAGAGGCGTAGTCCCGGCTCCTCCAGTGCACGAGCCCGCTTGCCTCCCGCCTGACGCGCCCGCAGCCGGCCGGCGGACCGGTCGATCCACTCGTCCCACTTTGCAGGCCAGCCCTGGTAGTGCACGCGCACGCTGCTCTCGGAGGAGAGGAGCACCTGTGGGTGCACGAAGGGGCAGCTGTGACTACACCCCATCCCAAGAGCTGCGGTCCGAGGAGAGAAGGAGCTGCCCCGAGGGGCGGAGACGAGAGCTGGGGTTGGGTGGGCGGGTGGGCGGGCGGGGATGGTGGTGGCGGGGTGGTGGTGTGGGGGGGAGGGGGGGAGGGGAGAAGAGGCAGACGCGCAGAGGGGGAGAGGCGTGGCGCGTACCTTTGAAGCACACCACTTTCCCTCGAGGTCGAGCGCCTCGACGACTGAGCCGATCTGCCAGTCGTCGGGCATCCGCTCCGTCCCCCAGCCGCGGTGCGGCCGGATTCGCGCCGACGCCTGCAGCGACCGGGCGTGGGAACGGTGGCGATGGCAGCAGAGGAAAAGACAGACATTGCAGCAGCGATTGCAGCAGCGGCGGTGGCTGCTGCTGCGGCGGTGGCTGCTGCGGTGGCGGCAGCTTAATTTCGGCGTTTGGGAAATGGCGGCGCGCGCGAGCGGCAGCTGGCTGGGCAGTGGCGCCGAGGGAGGCGGCGAGCGTGGGCACTAGCTGCGAGTGCGTGTGCGAGTGCCTGAGGCAGCCACTCATCATAGCTGTCGCTCCAGCCGTCAAAGTGGAGGAGCACGCTCAGCCCCTCCGACGCCTGCTGCACCACACGCGCCGGGTACCACTGCCCCTCGAGGTCGAGCGCCTCCACGAGGTCGCCCACGCGGAGCAGCTTCACGGGTGCCATGTCGGCCCCAGCACCATGCAGCTTTGAGAGGCCACACAGAGTGCGCGAAAAAGAATTTTACCTCTTCGCGAGCGCGTGGATTCGCGTACGCACGCGTTATATCTATCTATCTCTATCTTTCCCGCCTTTGGATTAGGCCGCACAGGGCCGGGAATCATCTGTAGAGGCACGAGTGTTCGAAGAGAGAGTGGACCTGAGCAACAACATGACCTGTAGGCAAATGATCGGAGTGGGGGTCAGAAATGAGAGAGATTTTTAGCAATACTTGTTTGTTGTCAGAAATGTGGTCCTTGCGCGAGGGGAGCTCGATAGACTCGAGGGGCCAGGATACGCCGCGAGGAGGACGGAGTTGCGCCGAAAGGCGAAAGAAGCTGCGAGAACAAGGCTCAAGGGACCGGCAGGCGGCGGCGTCGCAGGACGAGGCAGAAGAGAACGACGCGACAGAGGAGGAAATGACAAGGGAGAGAACGACGAGAGTGGGACGACCGCGAGGTGGCATGAAGGTTGCAGCGAGAAGCGGCGAGAGACTGCGAAGAGAGATAGGAAGAGGCAGACTCCCTAGGGTGGGCGACGGCTAGCACCACACTCTCTCTCTCCACACTCCTCTCCTTAAAATCCCTGTGTGGTGGCGGCGTGTCCTCCCATCCCTCCCTTTGGTTCTCTGTTTTCTTTCTTTCTTTTTCGCACTGGCACTAACACAGGCGAAAAAGAAATAAGCTGGGCTTCCCTTCAGGCTGCTGCAAAGGCGGCTGCTCAGGCGGCCGCTCAGGCCGCTCAGGCGGCCGCTCTCGGACGGTACAGGTTGGTCAACGCTTGGTTCTATCCACGCGGCGACTGGTACACCTTCTACTGGGATGGCAGCTCGGCCGACAAGGTCGCAAGGCGCGCTACCTACCCGACGCTCGAGCACGACGACCACGACCCCGGCCCCCTCGCAGAGCGCATCAGGCGCGACAAGCGCGAGGCGTCCCACCGCTCCTCCGACGACTCCTCCTCCGACCGCGACTCGTGCGGCACCGGCTCCACTAGCGAGGCGAATGACATATTCGACACCCTCGAAGACCATCTCGGCTACGGTTCCGACTCCGGCTCCGGCTGGTAGTCGACAAGCTGCCGAGCGCAAATCACTCTGTGTGACACATTTCTTGTTGGCTTCTAAAAATCTCTCTCTCTAATGGACACCACACTGCACTCGACTGCACGCCCCACACCACCACTCCACACTCGCTTGCGGGAGGAAAATTCTTCCCTTCTTGCAGGGAGACTTCTTTTGTTTAAATTCTCTGCCAGTCCGCGCCAGTCCGCGCCCTTGTCGTGCCAGTGTGCTGTGAGAGAGGCTTATTTTAAGAATTCTTCCCTTCGTGCGAAGAGCAAGCGCCCGCTCGCCGTGCGATGGACAAGGCAGGCACCGCCTCCAAGGCAGGCACCGCCTCCAAGGCAGGCACCGCCTCCAAGGCAGGCGCCTCCAAGGTGGGCTCCTCCTCCGCGTCCGCCGCCGACGGCAAGTCGATGCACGCCATGTCGCACGCGATCGGCATCGCCATCGCGCGGCTCGACAACCAGGCGACGGTGGCCGACGTGTCTGCCTACGCCGAGGAGGCGCGCACGAATGCCGCGGCAGCGCGCGCGCGCCGGGCCGCCCCTCCAGCGTGCCCGCCCGCCTCCGCCGCAGGCGCGCGTGTGCCTCGGCCTCGACACGGAGATCCTCGCGGCGGCGATGATGATCGCTCAGATGCTCATCATGGAGCACTCGCTCGCTTGGCGCGCGCCGGCACCCTGCCCGCCCGCGGCCCTTTCCCCCGCGCCACCAGCCCGCCTCGCGCGCGCGCAGGCACGCCTCGCTCACCATCGGCTACTCGACCGGCGCCAAGCTGCTCTGCGACGACCGCTTCTTTCTCGCAGACATCTGCGACTACCTCACCGACGCGTACTCGCTCGACCAGCTCAAGGCGAGCGACTCCGCGCGAGAGCGCACACGCGCGCACACGCGCGCGCGCGCGAGCACACGTCAACAGCGAATGCGCACGCACGCACGCACACGCACACAAACCCACACGCACGCGCAAACCCGCACGACACAGACCACGCCTCGGCGTGTTCGCCGGGGGGCCTTCCCACCGACCCTCGCCCCGCCGACCCCCGCCCCGCAGGCGGGCGAGAAGCTCGCCCTCTCCGACCCCGACCGCCTCATCGGGGCGCAAGAGCGCGTCCGCATCTTTCGGAACGAGCTCATCCAGGCGCCAGACAGCTCCCACACACCTCCCACACACCTCCCACACACCTCCCACACACCTCCCACACACCTCCCCACACCTCCCCCACACCGCCCACACACCTCCCACACACCTCCCACACACCTCCCACACACCGCCCACCCCCCTTTCCACACCTCCCACACACCTCGGAGACCACCTCCCCATCGAGCGGGCCGGCGAGACTCTCGCCAACTGCCCTCGCCGCTGCTTGCCCTCACTCCCCCCCCTGCTGCTGCTGCAGCTCCTCGTCGCAAACATCGGCGGCCTCCCGGACAACCTCGGCGTCGCGCCGTCGGACAACTTCCACGTCCTCATCGTCGACGACTCGCCGATCGTGCGCGCGCTCCACCTCAACTTGGTAAAGACGTGTGCGCCGGGCGCGACGGTGCACGCAGTCGACAAGGTCGCCCGCCCCCGCCCCCGCCCCTCCGCCCCGCCGCCCCCGCCCCTCCCTCCCCCCCGCCTCCCCCGCCCCTCCGCTCCTCCTCCCGCCCCGTCGCCCCCGCCCCTACCCTCCTCCCCGTCGCCTCCTCCTCCCGCCCTCGCCCCTAGCCTCCTCCCCTCCACTCCTCCTCGTCGCCCCCGACTCCACCTCGGCTCCCACCTCGGCTCCGCCTCGGCTCCGCCTCGCCAGGTCGAGCTCGCAATCCAGTACGTCGACCGGA